GATGATGCCAGCACTAAGCCAGAATGGCGTCAAGAGCAGCCACTAATTTTGTTCGGGTAATGTCTGAACTGTCTGGCTTTGTTTGGGCTGAGTCATTTACCAGTAGGTATGGTCTTGTTGATGCGCGCGCTGTCGGAAATGCTGCGCAGGTGGCTAGTTTCCAGGACATACTTGTGCTTGTAAATGCTTGTAGCAGGTATTTGTTGCCATGAACGACTATTTCCGGCGTATTTCTGGAATTACAGTCGATGTTGTGCTTATTTTGGGCTTATGTCCTGCTTATTTCTGGGATTACAGTCTATTTAGTGCTTATTAAAGCTTATCAAAGCTTATGTTGTGCTTACGACAGCATTGCGTGCGAATGTTTGACTATAAACCAGAATACAGAAGCGCGTCCCGACTCATCCCACTATTGTGGGTTTACATAAACATGGGTAATTATTTGAGGGGGTGGATTTGGGGACCCATTTGAACAAGTATGGTAAAAGCAAGAGGAGCAGCAGAAGCCTACGTCAGTCAAGCGTACACATTTGAGGCTCGAGAAGAGAAGCTGCAGCAAGACGTGGAGGAGATGAAGCGGAAGCTGGCACTTCGGCTTAATGAATGTTGACCCTGGGTTGTCCGGCAGATTTTATAGGGAGGTGTTCAATCCCCGCAAGTGTGAAGGATCCTCTTGAAAATGGAACACCCCCCATCAAACAGCTTTATTCATGCCGCAGGAATTCTGGGTTCCCATGAAGCTTAGTCTCAAAGCTTCGTTGCTTGTGACAGCCACTTGGTTAGAGCCGCCGCCCCCTCGGCAACACCATGAGGACTCAGCTCTTGAAGGGAAGTGCGACTATGACACCAGGGGTAGCCATAGTTGTCACCAATGGCACGGAAGCTTCAGTCATAAAGCTTGGAATTAGGATTTTAGACGGAAACTATAGGACGGATACTTGTTTCCATTTTAAAAATGGAATGAGCGTAGCGGTGCCATTGGATACATCATCAATATGTGCCAAAATGGCTTGCCATTTTGGCTCAGCTGGTTACCACTCTTGAGTGAAACAATTCTTACCTTTCTGGTACCTTTCACTCCCCTCGCTCAACCATGTCTTATTCCGATGCCAGCATGGACTCCTTCGACTTGGTGACAGGGGGGGAAGAGGCAGCCGCGCAGGTGGAGGAACGCCTGCGGATCCAGAAGCGCTCGCAGCTTCCGGTGATTGATCCCAACTCACAGCCGGAGGACCTCCGCGCGATGATGTCTGATCTTCAGGACTGCATCTCAAACCCACGGATGCCCCGCCCTCGTGCCGAGCCCCGGGGGCGGGTGGGTGGGGAAGTGGCCATAGACATGACCCCTGCGAAGGAGGCGAGCGCTCCGAAGACAACTGGGAAGGGGAAAAGCCAGCGCGCATGCACATTGAGGAGGGCCAGCACATTGGCAGGGAGACCGAGGCCACGGTGCTACATCCCCCCAGAGGCAGAGCGGGCCTGGGTGCCGGCGCACATCAACTGCATGGCGGGATCTAAGTGTTGGGGAGTTTGCTCCTCCAGCTTCTTGTCGGGAAACCCCACGTGGCGGCTGCCGAGGCAAACTCCGCAAGGCTTCTAGTGACGCGATCTTTCAGGGCCGGCACTATCGCATGACCATCCGGGAGGAGGTGCTAGAGACGGGGGCTAACGAGGAGGCGGAGGCCGCCCAGTCGGAACACCAAGTGGATCAAACCACACCATCATTCTAGAGGCGAATCCACATGGCCAGAGGACTTGAAGTCCAGAGTGGCTTGTTTTTCTTGTTGGGTTGGAGAATCTAGACAACAGCTACCTGCCCTTGCAGCACCTGACGGATGGGTGGCTAGTTGGGGCGCCGAGGTCCAGGCAGGGCTGGATGAGGTGCCTGATGACTGCCAAGGGGGCGCTCTGCCTGGTTTGTGCTATGGCGTTGGGCTGTCAGAAAAGGAACTGTTGGGTTTGGAGAAGCGTGGGAGCAGATGGCGGAGCAGGTGGACCAGGGGCTAGGGTCAGCAAGATAAAAGGGTTTTTGAAGGCAGATGTCTCAGCGCTGATCTCTACTGCGGTTGAATCGCACTTAGTATTGCTCTAACTTTTGTTCCTCATGGTGGACTGGCCTGTGTGTGGACTGCTGGCTGCTGACAGCCATCTTGGGAGCGCTGCTGGCCCTGGAACCCAGAAAACGCACCTAGGAGAGATTAACCCCTGCCTGGGTTTCGCGATCGGCAACAAGGCGCATCACCGCGATGGAAGTGCTACAGCGCAGTGTGGAAGGTGCCACCACGCCACGCTCACATCCAAGGCCATTGAGATCGCAACATCCCAAGCCAGCCACGTGGCAAGGATGTTGGCTTCCTTTTGAAGGAGCTAAACTTGTGATGGGGAGCGACAACCAGGGCAATGTCTACGCCATGCTGAACGTCTCGTCCAAGAAGCTTCACACGACGGAGTTGGTTCTGCAACTGCAACTCCACAAGTGTGGGTGCGCCATGACGCCGAATCACATCCCCAAAGAATTCAACACATGGGCGGATGAGCTCACGCGCCCGGGCTACCCTGGGTTTCCTGGAAAGCAAGCGTCTGAAGATTGAGGATCTGGGTCAGGACTTTGTCCTGTAGGGACATTTCCGCATTCGGTGATTTGGCACCGTGTGTTTGTCGAGACCCTTTTTGCCTTGTTTCGTTTGGGGGGGGGGGTTTCCCAATAAGCATCAAAGCAGACGACCTTCGGGCTTCAAGTTCGAGCTACCCGTGGCTGTTCGCTTGAAATCCTTGCAGGATCTTACAGGTTGAATTGTAGTAATCAGTGCAGGCGCGGCAAGAGGTACATACGTTTTTCTATTGACCTGTGTGCACTGTTTGTCGGACAGTCTCCAAATATCCCTCCCAACTGGATATGTTGCCCAAACCTCATATGCTTGCTTGAAAAGGTCGGTGAAGCCATGGCTTCCACCTTCATAGCCAGGCAAACACAATCTTCGCTACACTTACTGGTCCTCCACTGACTTCTCAACCGTTCATATTCTAGTTTTGTTTGTCCATTTACAGCCAAGGCCTCGGAAAGATACTCCTTGCATGTTTAGGATGTTTCATGTGGGGAAGTGGGCATCAGCAAGTACGAAGCTCATCGGAATGCGAACATCGGATGAAACTCTAACACGGCTTGCATGGGCCTTGTTGAGGTGTTCTTTTTGTTTGTTGCGCATACTTGTTGCCAAGTCTTGCTCGGTTGGTTTCCTAAGTTTCCTACAAAACATGTTGCATTTACTTGCATGCATATGGGGTCTGGTTTGGGAGGATCAGCTTTTCCTCGGTGTCGTGGCCATAAGCCATAGGTTCATGGCCGCATGTTAAGTGTTCGGGGAATATAGTTTGATATGTTGGTGGGAAATAGCTTCCCTAAAGGTACACACACACACCTTTAAACTGGGGGCCTCCATGTGGGTACGTGTCAGAATGGGAGGAACGCCCAACAAAAACGTAAAACAAAGGTACCCTCGCCAAAAATACAGACCGATGTCCTCCACGATCTTTGAGGTGGAAGCCCATGATGTGATCAAATCGAACGCGGAGGCGGGTTTTTCTTTTGGTGGGGGACACATTGAGGGTGTATGTGGGTGTGTGTGTGTGTGTGCGCGTGTGTGTGCGCGTGTGTTTTGAGTGTGCCCTTTTCAGGTTGGTTGGAAGGGAACCCAAAGTAGACCCACCATTTGGGGTCCCGGGGTCCCTCTATTTTGCACATACCTACGTGGCTGTTTCTAACAATTGAGGCCTCTAGAATCGGTTGGTGTCCACTTTACGGAATCCAACGTGATTAGTATCTTTATGCTTGGTTTCCTCATGTGGTGTTCCCTTGCTTGCTCAAAGAGGCTGGCTGATTCAATAAAACGAGGCCAATTCTCTCACATTCCCAAACCTGTCACAGAAAATTCGGAAAATTGGACCCTCTCAGCGGCTCCCAAGCATTGGCAAAGGGACGGATCTTATGGGTTTGCCTTCTGCGAATTCCTAGTATTCCGTTTAGCCCTCAGGGTGCTGAAATGGGTTGGCTCCCCTTTGTGCTTCCCTTGCAAACAGACCGAACTACCTGCAAGCGACATACTAGGTGTTCCGCGGATAGGTTGTGTAGCTGCTTGTGAACTTGACGCATGAGAAGCAGAGAAGGTCCAAGTGAGCCTATGAAAGCAAAAGGGCGATTTGGGGTATTAGGGACGCCAACCAGGTTTCCTTGTGTTCCTTTAAAGAAAGGCTTTCTTTGAGGGTGGTGGCACTTTTGGGTGGGTAACTCTTAGATGTTGGCCGTCAGAGCCAAATTTGGAGCGACCCTTGCCCTTGCCTTCCCGGATCGCGTTCATTTCGACACGGGAGTCGTCCGGAAACTTGGGAACTGGGAACGCCTGCCTGGAGCCTCCATGACGCTTTAAACATGGGTAATGAATGGCCCCATTGGGGTCATGGAGACTCCAGGTAAGAGTCACAGCAGGAGGGAGTGAGTACGCACTGCATCGGTTTGGCTTGACAGTTCCTGTTCCATTCGCGTCTTGCGAGCTCAAGGAAGGTCAGAGAGACCGACAGCAACATGGGTGCCAATGAAGCCAATGCGGACGTCAATGGGAACAACTGCGGTAGCAATATTTAGAGGTTTGTTAACATGGTGGGCTTGAATTGGATGGTGTTGATGGGCAACCACAAGGATAATTAGTTTTGTGAGATTCAAGAGGCGTCGCTTTGTTCAAAGAGATTCTCAGGGTGGGACAATGACCTTTGCTTGCACTCGACACTCATAGCTGCTCCTCTAAAATGTAGCAGCCGATTGGAGCAGGGTAAGACCCTTTGTCGAAGTGGGCATCAATGTTTGCGTGTCCTTTTTGTTTGCACTACTTGCATTGAGCTCACCCGGAGGTGAACGAGCTGTTTGTTTTTTTTCTTCGGCATGGTTCCGCAATCCTGAGGGTTCCTTGTTTCTATTGTCTATGTTTTGCCTTAGCTTTGCATTCGTTGCAACAACGCAGCTTGTGTCTGTGCGATTCTGTCCATGTGCGCCATGCAAGCTGTGCAACTCAGGTGCCTTGGATGCATACAGCGGGAAATTCATTCCATATCCGATTCTCTTTCCCGAGAAGCATGATGACTAAAGGGTAGAACATAGGACCATTTGGGTCCGGTTCTCCTCCGACCCACTTTCTGCCGGACGAAGTTGTTCATGGGATCATCAAAAAACAACTCAATTGTTTTCAGGGACAGCGGTGAACTAGAATTTGCACTTTCATCGTGCCAGAGGCCCTGTCATGATTTCACTCGATTTTGGCCGTGTAAATGTTCGACCCCAACTCAGTGGACATTTGTTGTCTGCTTTTGGGATAGCCTTGATTTGTACTTGAAGGCACAAGCAATCCCCCTGGCTCCAAAGATGGTGCACCTCATAGGCACTCCATTTTTTTCGTGGCTTCCCTTCAAGACCCTTCCAAAAGGGGTTCTCCATTTGAGAGAGATCTCAGCTCGCTTTTTCTTCGAAACGGAAGCCAACACGTAGTGAGAACCAGATGTGCCACTCGCTCGTGATCGCCTTAAAAAATGGCGAGCAATACTGTTGGTTTTCCAGAGGGTCCCAGTACCTAAGGATGGCTTTTGGGGGGTCAAAAGGGGTCTAAATCCCTCCTCAATCAGTACTTGTACCCACTCGGTTCAGTCATCCCTTCTCTTCCCATGGAATTGTGCCAGCCAAATCACGCTGGGCGCTTCCCTTGGCCGCCCAAGGCTTCGAGAGGGAGGGGAAGTTGACGGTTCACGGATGTTTAAAGCTCCCGCAGCGCGGAAAGGCGAGCTAGAGGCGACCTAAGCTCCTTCGAAGGGCCTAGGCTCGGAGGATGCACCCAGCGAGTTGTTTATACGCACCACAGGAAAGGCTCGAACAAGGGAGCAAGAGTCCACCTTGAGTCGAACTTGACGAGGTGCCACACGGACTTCTAAGTTTAGGAACGACAAGGACAGCCGAGGACCAAACGCTCACGTGACTTTTCGCATGGAGAATGTTTGATTCCCCACTAATCCAGATCATGGACCCATTTTTGAAGGGGTCAGAAGGAGGCTCCAGCTACGGCCGGGGCTTCGAACAGACCTCCGCTCACCTCGGAGGCCCTCCACCCCCGCACCGTGTGCCCCGACGCCGCGGCTTCGCAGCGCCGGGCCCACGGCCTGGCCGCGGCATGTGCGCCGCGGCGCGGGAGAGGCGGGTGGCTTGAACTCTGTTCGATGTTGCAAGGATACTAGTTGTCAGGTCTGAATAACCCAACAAAGAACCAGCTAGGTCTCACCAACCCAAAAAAGAACCAATGGTTGCGAAAATTCAATGCCTGCTTTTCAGGTTTGCTCCTCCAGCCTTTTTGTTGCATCCCCTTGGTTTTAGCAGGTGGGTTTGTGTGTTCCTCAATCCTTATGCGAAACGGTGGTTTCCCTTGCACCACAGATTCGCCCGGTGTACATTCATGGATTGCTCTACCTCGAGCTCACCCTATGACCCTATGATGAAGAGCTTTAAATCCTGCGGGAGGGGGGGGGGGGGCGGGGCGTGGGGAGCTTCCCTTTTCCCCGTTGGTGAGTTATGATCAATTGCCGAGATACTTGTTTTTTGTTGGTAGCAACACCTTTTGGTTGCCGATTTGACTTGAAATTTGATTTGAGCTTCTTCGGAGCGATGTTTGAAGGGGCAATCAATGGACCTCTGTTTTGAGGTGCTGTGTAACATGGGGTGGTGTCAGGCTCTTTGAAGTGAAAGCTTTGTGGGGGTTCTGAGATTTCGCCCCTTGGGGGCGGACTTGTTTTTCCATCATGAAAGTTGAAACCGTTTTTTTTTGTTTTTCAAAGTTAGGAGCAGAATAGACTGAATGAATTCAGGTTTCTATCGGGTGTGTTGTCAAGCCTGTCGAGTTGAAGACCTCATGTCGGGCCCCATGCTCAAGTCATTGCAAATCTGCGTCGAGCCCCAGCAACCAGAATGCCTTGAAGACCGGTTGGCTGCACTTCCAGCTTCTGAATAGACCCAGGGACCCATGATAGAGCCAAACATTTGTTCACATGTGGCTGTGGGTCAAAACCAATGGTACCATTTTGGGGTAGGTGAATTCACCACCCATTTTAGAACCTATTTTAGTGGGAATTGGGATGTTCACTGGGGGTACGGGATTTTGATTTTGACCAATGGCCATGTATTAAAAGACACATCTTGTTTAAGCAACATGCACACGAGCGAAGTTTCGGAGGTGGCCTCGCTGGCGCTTGGGCTGGCGTGCTGGCGAGCAAGGCACGAGCTCTGTTTGAAGCGCGTCGGTGCCGAAACTTCGTCCTTGCCGGGCGAGTCCGTAGCTCCGAGCACCCCTTTGAAAGACTTCCACAGAGTCCAATTGGGGGAGCTTCCATGTTCGTCTGAGGGAGGTGTAGTTCTCCACAACCGAAAGAAGAGCCTTCACAGTCGATTTTACAGCCTTAATGGGTTCAGGCAGAATTGATATCATTCCCTGGCATCATGCTCGGCTCTTACTTTCGCGGGGCCAACACCGGGGATCTCTGTTCAAATTGTTTTACATGTTCAGGTTCGCCAAATGTGGACCAGATTCACACCTGGAGCCTCCATCGTGGCAAAACAAAATGCCTCCCCCTGGTTCGATACACAAATTGACAAGTTGTAGCGCTTTTTCCTCCACAACTGCTTACGAGCATTTGTTTCACAGAGCGAGTTTGGGAAGAGTCATCAACAAAACGAGGGCAATCGGCGCAAAAAAAGAGTAAGAAAGTGCAACCGAGCGAAACTCCAAAACGTGGTACAGGCAATAGGTTCCGCTGGGAGCATGATTGCTGTTTGTCTCGAGCAAGTGTTGTTGAATCGTACATTTATTTTAGAACAGGTTGTCACGAACAGAAATATTTCGAGCAACACATAATGTATCAAAGGAGCTGCAGGTATTGTTGGTTGGCGGCAAAAAAAAATGTACACAAAACAGGCAATGCTCGGCTTGAACTCCACACCGAGCGACACAGGAGGAGCTATAGTCGAAGATGCCAGGCGGGAGTCTGAGTAATGAGTAGACCCAAGCCATTGTTGGTGGGACAGGCGGGTTGCCGGTTTAACAAGCTTTCTTAGATCAGCGGTGAATAGACATTGGGATGTCAGCCGCCTCAGCAGCCCCATCCCCCTTTTGTTCCCAAGCAAGAACCAATGCGGATGAAGGCCTGCGAGGGAACCAGGAGGGAGGCTTAGGGGAAATGCGCTTCATACATCCGCCATCCCCATCTGCTAGTCACCCACCTGTTGAAGCTTCAATCATTCATCCACGGCGTCGGAGTGCAAGACCTGGTTGTGTTTTTGTGACCAGGCCATCCCACCTGTCCCGCTCACCCAGACCCACTGCTGATAAGCTTCCCTGGGGCTTAAAGTTGAGGCTTTCCCGTGAGCAAGGTTGCTCTCTTGGGATCTTGCTTTTCAGGATGTGCTGGGTCCAGTGTGGTGGTTGGGTTCTTCGGTTGAAAAGCCAACAGTCGAGTGTGATAGCCATGCAAGCCGCTCAGCCAAGTCCGCAATGTGTCAAAGCAGCTCTTTCCCTGTTGTATTTTTGATGAACAAATCCATGCTATTCAGAGGTGTTCGGTGTCATCGACGCTTTCATTCAGTTTGCATGCTAAGTGTAAGCGCTTCTACAAATGCAAACCACGACTTGCCATGACAATGTTCGAGGTCAGTAGGGTGTCAGTCCCAATCATAAATGGAGGTGCCTGCTGTTTTGGTTCTTGATATTGTTTGGGGTAGACCAGTTCTTTGCTTATGCTTCGGCTCAGTCCTGGATGGTGGCGAGGTTAAAGTTGCATCGCTGTATATCGGCTGGGCAACTTCCTCTCCCCTATCTCTGTCAACATTTGTTTCTGCGAGGGTTGCCCGTTTTGTGTACGCTTGTTGTGTCAATACGGACATTCGGAATGCTGTATTCAATGTGTTTGGCAGCTGGGTCCCGCACAAAATCCCTCAGTTTTAAGCCGAGCTTGTCACCCTTGGATTCCCTTGAGTAATTGAGGCTTACAAAGGATCCCTTTTCAACCTTGCAGATCCTTCCTGAGTATTTGGGTGTCGTCCCTGGATTCGGCGGTCCGAATTTTCTGCGAAACATGCCGCGCCCTTGGCAATGCACCGATTGAGGACATACGTGCTGTACTCCGGAGCCATAAGAAATAATTACACCGGGTTACATGACAACCGTGCTTGAGTTCTGAACTTCCCAGGTACATTGAGAGAGAGAGAGAGAGAGATCGCCATGAATGTGAACTTCGTCTAGTGGTTTAGTTGCCACTGGCAACTCGAGAGCAAAGGTTGGGCCTTCCTTGTGTTGTAGCTTTGGAGTGAAGGTACCCTTTCTCCAGTCATGGAAGTGGACCAACATGGGCTTTGAGAGGCTGGTCTTCACCGGAAATGGTCTCGTTTTATGATTGGACTGAGAAAACGTCAAACCTTAGAACAGGTGCTGGCGTTCAAGCGAGGTTTCGATGTGTGTGTGTGTGTCTGACATGTGTTTGCAAGCTTGCAAAGACTTTCTCAGGCCAGGGAGAAGGGTTAACCTTTAAGGTATTGCCATGTGGCCATGGGTCAAAAGCCCGTACCCCCAGTGAACAGAACATCCCAATCCCCACTAAAATAGACTAAAATGAGTGGTGCACCTGCCCCAAAATGGTACCATTGGTTTTGACCCACAGCCATGTATTGCCATTTTGGTTTCCCATTTTAGGATTGCTATTTTGAGAACCCTCTTCGTCCGAAGAAGCTGAGGTGCGTCTCCAAGCCTTCTATGAGGCGACGCCTCGAGAAGGCGCGAGCGAAGGACTCGGACTGAAAACCGTTCCTTTGGGTCCTGAAAACTGGTGGGTGTGGCTTACAATCAAAGGGCCAGGGTTACGCTAGTTTTAGTCTTTGTTTCCGGGTATGAGTTAAAGAGGTGAAGAAAGTAGAACATGTGTGACTCCGTGTTTCTAAGTGCCCAACGACTTTATTCAAATTCAACATGGTTTAACGTAGATGATCTGAAAGTAGAAAAGGTAGGGACATCTCTGGAAACTGACAGGAAATGTCCACCAAATCCGGCATGCACAAATGATCTCGCGATCTCGCGAAGGGATTTGCTTCGCAACCTGAAGGTTCTACAGGCAGTCCTTGCTTCAGGTGTGTGTGTGTGTGTCTGTTGGAATGCCCCTTTTTGAGTTGGTTTAGCAAGAAATCAAAGCAAACCGTCTGACCCGTGAATATACCAGATCTTGGAAGAGTCTCATGTGAAAGACCCGGGTCATGTCTGCTTACGGGAGGCTTTGAGGCCTGCGCATTCACATACCAGCTTCCTCCACTCACAGGTGTCTTTAAAGTTGCGACCAGACCCCTTGTTCTGTCAGTTTTCTCTTGGCTTCCATGAGACAAGCTCATCTCTTTTCGCCAAGCTGGTCTCTGCCTAAAAGCAAGTCGGGTGACAGAACCTTTCGGTTTCACCTTCTGCACGCTCGTCCGGTGGGTGGCCGCAGCTTTGGTCTTCACCCCGCTCCGATATGCGATTTGGTCTGGGAGCTTCTGGGGGGCCGAGGCTTTGCGATTTTCCTGTGCCGAGTGGGACGTGTTGGTGATGAGTGGGTTCCGAAACGGGCCGTGCTTGGCGCCTAATTAGCATTGCCAGAGGGATCTGCAGAGAAATGTGCTTGCCATTTTTAAGCGCGCGGCTGCGCGCTGCCCAACATGGAGGTGATGTTGCCGGCCTGGCTTTGGGGAAAGAGCCTTATCTTGAGGCTTCCAGCGAGGATGGCACGCTGTCTTGACCTCCTGGCCTGTTGGGAATTGCCTTCTCGGTGGGCGCGGGTAGCGGGCTTGCGAAGGAAGGAGCCTTACGTAGAGCCGACTTTCCTGGCCCACGGTCAGGCTTGTTTCAGAGCCTATGCACCGAGCAAGGGAGTGGTAGTTGGGCTGAAAGTGCAGCCAGACTTCATGCCCGAATCGCGAAAAGCGGAGCTGGGATTGCGAACATGTGTGAGTACTTCTCGGTCAACACTTGGCATGAGCTTCAGCAGGATCGCAGGAAGCAGAACAGCTGCGCCCAAATATAGTGGTTAAACGGTTTGCAATAGAGAACGCCAAGGCATGAAGATCAAGTCTCAAACTTGCATCGAGCATGAAAGACGATGCCTGGACGCGCGTGCTCTTGAAAGCCACTGTTCCAGAGAGCAGCCAACAACATGTTTGGAACATGACTCCACGGAAAAGGGAAGCACGCATCCTGGTCCGCATATTTACCGAAATAAAACCGGGTTCATGCTGCTTCCCTTGCAACACCGCTCAGCTTTCCAAACAGTACATCAGTACATGGTTTCATGCCGATTGTTTCCCGCATTTGTGTGTTTTAGTGGGTTCCCCACGAAAAAACACGGGCCCCCCCCCCAAACAGGAACCAACCGGGTTCCCTTTTTCTGGCACAAAACCACTGCCACGAGCCCGGCGAATCGCCGGGCATTCCGCGGCTTCGAGGCTGCTCCTTCGGCGCCTCTGTGCGGGGCTTCAGCGTCAAGGAGTTCCTGGACGACGAGGACGCCATGGCGCAGGTCCGCGAGGCCCCTCGATCGATCGAAGAGAAGGGGCGTGGCGTTGGGTTGGGGCGCCAGCTCGACCCAATCCCATATCTGATGGGTTTCTCGGAATGGTGGGCCTCTTGTGCGCGCACCGCACCGCACCGCACCGCACCGCACCTCACCTCACCTCACCTCACGCACGCGCCAGCCAAATGATTAGCAGAAACGTCCGATTGCGTGTGTTCACGGCTGCACACACGCCAACCCGATGATGAGTACACCCGTTTGCCGGACAGGTTGCAGCATTCACAATAACATCTTTTTTGACTGCACACACACGCACGAAACGGTCAGAAGCAGTTTTTGCTCAACGGCGCCGAGGCATGACCAACCAAAAAGCCTTGCAAAAGAGAGCTGTCACTCGCTGGCGTGAGCATGAACCAAGTTGACAACATGTTGCCGTGTGTTGGGCAGATCGACTTGGATACCCTTCTGAAGCAACAACATTGCCCTCCATTGCCCTCCATTGCCCTCCATTGCCCTGTAATAGTATTCACCTGTTCTTGCACGTTTCTTTTGTGTCAGTGGTACTGGCGGCTTGTCCGGATGCTGTATGTTTGCCGGCGTAGCGTTGACGCTTGTTTTGCTGCACTGGAGTGTGCAGTTTGTTCCCGAGAGAAGACCTTGTATGCAGTTGGCCACCGGGACGGCGCGTTCCAAGGACATGTACAAGCACCGACTCCTGATTTTTCACGGCCAGACTGATCTGACGCCAGAGGATCACATCAAGCTTAGCCGCTGGCCTGAACTTGACCGGTGAAATAGGGTCCAGCAGATGCCTTGGCACGGTTCCCAGCTAGGAACTATAAGGTCAGGCATGCGAGCATCATCTTAGTTGTTGTTTTTTCCAGAGGGCCCGGACAGTTTGCATTGGTTTCTAGCATGCTCCTTTTTGGCGCAGCCAGCACCTGCCAGTTGCCACTTTCTTTGCAGAGAAGCCATTTCCAGACGTCCGGGCTTTCAGGTGCATGTAGGGTCCTGCTTGATCAATGTTGGATTTGAGCGAGTTATTTTTGGGTGGGGTGTGTCATGCTTCAACAGGCCGCCATCATCCAAGTCAGGACGGCTAACATGGGCCGTTTGTCGCGCTTGGTGCTTCAAATGGTTCTCTTGCACACGCTCGCACAAATGAAATCTGTGTTTTCCAAGTTTGTGAACCCAGATGTGTATTTCAGCGAATCCCGCGGTTTGTTTTGATGATTGCTGCCTCGCTTTTGTCATTGCTTCTGATGACATTGCCGCTTGTGGCCAAATAGAGGGTAACATCATCCTTTGCCCAATTGTGATGCAGCTCCGTTTCAGCGGCGTGATGTTTACCGGACAAAGATCCCACCGAACTCAGGCGAGCATTTGGGCTCCTTGGACCACATCCTCCACCGGCCCCACCCCAAATCCCCGGACCCGCGGCTGCTGCGTGTGGCGAACGACGACCGTGAAGGCCGGAGAAGACGAGGGGTACCTGCACCGGTTCCCTGCGCATGAGAACCCGCGCGGAGCCCGTTTTTCCTGGGTTGTTTCTTTGGTGCATTTTGCCAAGGGATGTTAGGACTTTATCTTTTTGCCAACTAATGGGTTTTCCATTAAACCACTAAAAGTTAAACTTTCAGCAGGGAAGCAGAAAGCAACCGAGGTTTGCTGGGTTCTCTCCTGGACATGGTCAGCCAAAAACAGGTGTTGTGTTGTTGTCGCACATCCCTTGCGTGCGGCAGGCTTCATGTCAGTGGGTACCAGTGGCTGGCACGTGGACGGCGTCATGCTTCAAGCTCCGACGCTGGACTGCACTAGAACTGTTGCTTGCGGTTACGAGTGGAAATGAGAAGCGCCTTAGTTCGTGGGCCACGTCGTATCTTACTTGCGATGAGGTGTTGCGAGCAGAGATGTTGCATCATTGACAAGGACTGTTGGAAACAGCTGGAGTATGTCAGACACGCATAAGAGTTGTTTTCACAGGGCCCAGGAGGCAAAAGGAACCTGGGGAGAAACATGGTTTTACTTTGCCATGTTACTTCGGGGTCAGCAGTTCTAGATGGCCGACGTGTTTTTGCTGCTGGAATGAATCCATGTCTCTCTTTGCCTCGATTCAGGGATCCTCAACAATTCAACCCAATGGTTCAAAGGTGGTTAGCTGCGAAGGGCTATCCCTGGCAGTTTCACGCCGACGCGCTGGCAACGATAGCTTAGGGATTTGGCAGGTGGCCGGCTTTGGCGAGGCTTGATACTTGTGAGATTTGGATTCTGCCCAAAGCTTGCACATTCTGTTTGCTTAAAGCGTGTTTTCAAGATACTGCAGGGTGGATGTTCAAGGTCATGTTCATAAAAAAGATTTGATGGTTTCTTGGCACCTCAATCAAGTAGAAGACATGGTGCCTTTACATCGTTCTTGAGGCAGCTCGAGGTGTGCCATGCATCCTAAACATTTGCGAACCGCTTCGGATGCAGATCTCGCCAAACGCATTCATCGCCTGCTGGATGCAACGATTTGCTTCGTAATGGCTCCACTTTAACAGCTCTCGCCACTATTCTTCTCCATTTTCCTGGTAGCCGTGCCTACTTGCCAGGTTCGCTGCTCAGACGATGCACCACTTGCCGCTTGGCAGATGGCTCACTTGGTTTTGACGCCGAGAGATTGATCAGCACAGGAAGCCAGATTTGCATGATAGATTGCGTTACTTGTATCCTCAGTGTTGCTAGCTCGCAGTTCGATATGCCCTTTTGCGTACAGTGGAAGTGTGTTGGCGCACCAGCCCGTCCAATGAGGCAGCCTTTTTGGATGTACGCCAAATCCAACGTTTCAGCCTATCGCGTGTTCAGTCTTGGCTGCCACGTTTGCAGTCACACAGTATCAGCCCCCGATGAAGAAACCTGGCAGATCGTGGGTTGGGGTGTTCCTTCCAAAAGTGATCCGCATTCCCACTAAAAAGGGTCGCCCCACAAGGTATATTCGACCAGTGGTGCATCATCGAATCCACAACATTCTGGTCTACCAACCTTACAGTAGATTGGCACAACATCCATTCATGAACCTGGATCTTGCAATGCTTGGCTATCCTGTGCGGCATAGGCAAAGCTGGACCTTTCAACAGAGCAGAGGTGGATCCCCAAAAGTCAGTACGACACCAACCATTCAAAGGGAGTTTGGGCGCGTGCCTGAATGAGATAGTTTTCTGAACAAATGTCACTGCCAGCAAGACCTGAACACAAAAAACAAAGCAAAAAGCGTGAGGCACGCCATAGAAGGGGGCGACACCATGTTCCTGGGCATGAACGAGTTGTACGACTCCTTGGACGAAGACTTCCGGGACCTTTGCGACCGGCTGTGGTTCGTGCAACCTGGCTTCACGAAATCTGAACTGACTCGTAGTGAGGGACCCCTGTTTTGCTCATAGGGTTGGACACATTGTGTGGATAACCGGACCCTGGTTCCCTTTCAAGAGAAGCCCAAAAAGCAACGGTGGTTCAAACAGATTAAAGGGTTCGAGCAACCATGGCTGCCTGATTTTTGAGGGAGGTCAACCTGGGCCTGAGGAAGGAAACCTTCAATCATCTCAATCCAATCGGTTCCGGAGCTGCCTGGGTTTGGCACCGACTACGCATCAAGGTTAGTCAACCATCTTGGTAGGGTGTTAAACAGAGACCAACATGACATCAAGTATGTGCAAGGCCCTGTGAATTACACGTGCCAATGTGAATACATTTATAAATGTAGACGTATATTGTTGTTATGTACGTCAAGTTCCTTAAATGTTTTTATGTACGTCAAGTTCCTTAAATGAACACTCAAGGTGCCAACCTGCAACATGTAGTGATGACACAGAGCTGGGTGTATCTTTCATTGCGTGAACTGGTTGAACTCCTTGATGAGCATTTGCCAGCGCAATGGAACCACGCTGCTTTTTGTGAAGCTCGTTAGACGAACTCTCACATGAGCCTCGATTCTGCCAGAAACATGCTCGGCCTTCCCAGACCGAACCCAAAAAGCAAGCAGATACTATAGTTTGTTTGAGTATTGCATGCATTATGGGCAACAAGGAAGACCCTGTACTTCACTAAGCGGTTGGTGCACCGTAGTTCTCTAAGATTTGTAGGTTTCCTGGAAGCTCCAGGCTTACCTCCCGGGCTGGTGCCTTGCTGAAGGGTTCCTTTCCATTTCCTTGGCTGCGTGGGGATGTGCCTCAACTATGTGCCCCTGAACACAGGAGGAATATCCTAGGTACATGTATACAATGAGGCCCTGCGACGGCAAGAGCGCCTACTGTACAACAAAGCAACCCAGGCAGTGTTTTCCCTGAGATTTAGGCCTCAAACTCAAACTTGGCAAACCACCAAAGAACCGCCTGGCCCTTTGGGAGGTCGGGCGGCCACCCTCTGCAGTTGCCATAGCTCTGGCTGTTTTGGTTGGAAATTCTCAAGGCGCCGGGGTTCAGGGTGGTCTCCGGGTGGGCTCCTGCTTTCGGTAATTCTCAGGGATAAGCCAGTCCACCAAAACGATGGGCTCCAAACCAGCCGGACTGGGGGGAAGTTGAAGTAGGGGAAGGGAAACTAGACGGGGGGAACCAGGGATCCGACCGCTTCTGCGCCTGCCGACCACTTGCTGACGCGCGTTTTTTGTAGCCCGGCAGCGTTGGGCGCGCGGAGCTCCTTCAACCGCCGCCCCAAAACGGCACTGGCCCGGCGTCGCCGTTTTGTACCCTCGCAGTATATATATATATATATATACCTGGAGTCTCTATGACCCTTTAAAATTGTGTCCATGACATTTGTTGGTAATGAGTTGCACCTTCTTTAAGGTATATACAAATACGCGTGTGTAGAGGGTATGCAAGGGTTTGATTGTTTCATGTACATGATTTGCTGCAACATGTTTTCATGTGCAGGTAGGCATGTTGCCCGCGCGGCAGCCTGTGGGTGCGGCGTTTCTGATGTTGAGGTCAGGTGTTGGGGAAGACCTTCAGCAAGGAGAAGGGCAGATGTCCTTGCTGCCCTTGGTCTATGATCACCCCTTCACCGGCGACAAGACCATGTGCTTTCACCTAGGCCCAGAAAACGTGGACAGGTTTTGGGGTGTTTGGGGGGTAAGTTGACAGGGATGCTTCTGGATGTTTGTCAGGGGACCCTGCGGAACTTGGCCAGCAGTCTTGTTTTGCGGCATTGCAGTCTGGGATCTCGTGACTGATTGCCAGGCGGGTCGACAGTGAGTTCGGGAAATGGAGTTGCTTGGACTGCCACCTGTTTTCCAAGTGTTTGTTCTCGAGTTCCCAGAGCCATTCCAAAACCCACCCACCTGCCAAATTCGTGGAAGTTTTCCGTCTTGGCAGACTCTCTTTGTTTGCCATTGCGCAACTCACCATCCCGGGGCTTCTCAGTCTGGGCAGGTTTTCGGACATTGTGCCGTGTTTCCGGCGCCGTGAATTGGGGTACTAAAAGGGTATGAAAATTCAGATTCGGTCTCATAACCAACCCGAACATATAACACTTGAGACATGGATGGAGGAAGGTGTCGTTGCGGCTGTACCTCAGGTGCACCCAATGGAATTCCCAACATCTCCCGTAGGGCCCGGCACCATGCGAGCTGGGTCAAAGCATATCCTTAGAAAGTACTAAGGGGCCCTTAGAGAATGTGTGTGTGTGTGTGTGTGTTGGTGGGTGGGTCTTAACTTGGAATGTTGTGGACAGTCAAGTTGAAATCACATCAAAAACAAAATTCGCACAAAACTAATCTTAATGGTTTGAATTAAACCAACGCGGAACACAGGGGAATAAATCAACATAAAACCCATATAAAACAATGGCAAACAGCCAACATGAAGCAGGTGCCGTTTGGAAGGGTTAAGCCCTATGCACTCCCAGCCCCCTCTTTTTCGGGCGGGGGGGGGGTGGGAGTGGGCGGGGGGCACCGCCCAAACGGCTCCAGGGCAGACCTACTGCCTGGGCTTCGTGGAAGAGGTGCCCTTGAACCTCGTGATGCAGGTGGTGGCCAACGCCACGCGCTCGAACGAGAGCTGAAATAGTCAAACGGTGTGTGTAGATATGTTCGATGGGATCTCTCTCTCTATATATATATATTATACAGATGTATATATTTAAGTTCACATACATATGATATATATATATATATATATGTTCCAGGCCGTGGACCCCCCCCCCCCCCCCCCCCCCCCCCCCCCCTGTGGGGGTGGGGTGGGTGGGTGGTGGGGTGGTGGTGGTGGGGTGGTGGTTGGGTGGTTGGGTGGTTGGGCCAACCCCCCCCCCCTGTGGGGGGTGGGGTGGGTGGTGGGGTGGTGGGGTGGTGGGGTGGTGGGGTGGTGGGGTGGTGGGGTGGTGGGGTGGTGGGGTGGTGGGGTGGTGGGGTGGTGGGGTGGTGGGGTGGTTGGGTGGTTGGGTGGTTGGGGTGTGGTTCGGAGTTGGTTGAGGCTTGGTGGGTTGGTTTAGGGTTGGTTCAGGGTTGGTTCAGGGTTGGTTTGCGGTGGGTTTCGGGTGGGTTTGGGGTTTGGGTTGATTTAGGCTTAGGGTTGGGGTTAAGGAGGGGTTGCAGGGTGGTTTGGTTTAGGGTAGGATGTTGCGAGAGGTGCGGGGGTGTTGGTTCACGGGGTGAAAGGGGGTCTGGGACCGAAGCTGCAGGGCTCGCACGGTACTGGACAGCATCCCCAGCATTGCCAGCATCATCCCCAAGATGCGGATGATGCGGGGGAGTGGGGGGACCATACCAGGGGGGGGGGGGGGTACGTGGCCCAGGGACTGGTACATATATATATAGACATATATATATATATATATGAGTGACCATTTGAATGTGAATGTCCAGTTTGGAATTTAACTAGGGGTTCCTTTTCAAGTTGGACATGCATTTACTTGCACTGCAAGTGGAACTCGAATGTCTAGTTCCATTGATAATTCAAGTAGGAGGTTCCCCACACGAAGATTCCTAGTTCCATTGAGAAATCAAGTAGGCTCCCCAAACCAAGATTCCCATGGCTCGTTGGGGTTCATGGAAATGCGAGCGGCTGGTTGGGTCCAAGGGTAGTGTGGGTCAAAAATAGGTACACAAAATGGAACTCTGGTAAATGGAAAGGACTAAAACCTGCGGTCCAATTCCTGGTGGTTTAATTTTGACCCATGCCCATTTCAAAAGAAACTCACTGCCCCAAAGGGTCGATGTTAAAATAAAAAGCATGGGACTGAAGGGCGCTAACTTCAAAACCGCGGCCATGACCTACCCTGTGAAGCCATGGCTCAAAATCCGAATCGTAGCCCCCAGCGAACATCAAGTTTTTCAATCCAACCACCAAAATAGGAAGCCTAAGATGGGCGGTGAGTGCACCTGCCCACCAAAATGGGCTCCCATTGAATTTTGACCCACAGCCACATAGGAAAACGATTTTGACCCACCACCAGCGAACATCAAGTTTTTCAATCCAACCACCAAAGTAGGAAGCCTAAAATGGGGTGGTGAGTGCATTTTGCCCACCAAAATGGGATCAACCAAAACGATTTTGGGATCCCATGCCCCCGTTTCCGGCGTCTCGGCTGAGGTCATGACCCGCGGGGACGGGCTGCTGAAAGGCGCCGGCGCGGCGCTGAAGAAGCACCTGGCGGGGCCCAGGGACGACTGCAGCTCGCAGTTCCGGCGCCTCGTTGGAGGAGACGTGTTCCTCCCTTGTTAGAGGACACCCCAGAATGGGGTTCTTACCCCAAGAAAGGCCCAAAAATGGGGGGGGGGGGGTCTTTAAAGTCACCAAAAAAGGGGTAGCCCCAAAAAAGGTCACACACCCAGGAGGTGTGACAAGAGTCCACCCTTTGCGGTATTTGATTGACAAACGATGACGATTCGAAATTGAGCTGTCCCGTGGGGTATATGAAGGTGCTGTACTGGAGGCTTCCCTGAGAATTATGGTCAGATGATTCGGTTTGTTGTTTGGTGTTTGTTGGTTTCTGACTGGATGGTTTCAACAAGTCCCGGGCATTTTTGTTTACCAGGGAACACGCTAGCTATTTCCATCGGACATATTCACTCAGCTTCACTTCACAAGACTCAAGAGTCACCTTACTTTTATAATTCACCTTGCTGGTGCTCAGCAGGGAATGAGGGAATGAACCTGGGAATTCCTGAAAGGAAACCATAGGAACCGGATGTCTTTTTTCGTCGGGGTCATTCCATTTCTCATTCCCTGCCTCTCTCGCACCGATCGCAAGTCACATTCAGATTTGAACCCCTCCTCTTGAAAATGGAAGGTGCCCAAAACCGCTGATCGGGTGAAGTCATCATTTGGTACACATGTTGCAGCTTGGCCGTTTAGTGGTTTTAAGCCACATGGTGTAATATGTGAGGGCCTGGAGCTGGTTGCGGATTGCATTTCTTGAACAATTTTGAAAGCTAGTAAAGTTGGGTTTTGAAGCATTCCTTTTGGGAACGTTTTCGGTGGACTTCTATGATTGTTCGAAAGATGGTACCAAGGTTCATTTGGAAAGGCATCTCAAAGGTTCCGACCATGATCACGACACAACCATGTGTGTAGTGTTTGTTTAGCACATGACAGTTACTATAGACGTTGGTCGGCATGGTAAACTTTGGCGGGCACCATGGCTTAAAGCGCGATGTTACTTGGTAAAGCTTTCCTGTCAGTTCACGTGCAGCCCAAGATGGGGGGGCGCATCCCCCCCACAAAATGAGATTCCTCTAAACATGTGTCATTTTGCCCACATGTGAACCTTCATGCAGGAGAAGCCGTGCAGCTTCACTGGGAAACAAAGGGTCAACTGGAAAACTCCGTCTGATCGCTTCGATGGCTCGCCCTTGAAAAGAGATGCAGGCATGGGCATGGATATGGGTGTGGGTCAAAGCCCTAGATACGCTTTTTGGGTAAATTCCCTTATTGGTCCATTGCAAAAAGGGCATCTGGGGGGTAGCGGGGTACCGGGGTTTTGACCAAAAGTGCCATATGTCAAGAAGTCACCGGCGGTTCCCAGCGAATCGGCCTGAGGTTCCTCCCTGCCGTGCCAGTCCAGGACCGATCACATTCCGTGCAAGACGGGCCCCGTGGAACAAAAGCGAAGCGGAAGGTCACCAAAACAGTCCCCAGCCTGGGAGTTGTTTGCTTTGTCTGACCTTTGAACTTCGAACACATGTGTTTGATGCTTTTGCCCAGCAAACCTCTGGATGAAGGCTATTTTTGCGTGATTCTCTTGGCCTCTTTCTGCTGACTGCAACTCAGGGTCACAGCCAACATTTCATGTTCCCAAGCTGAACTCTGAACTACAAGTCGGAAATATTTCTCCAGCCTAAAGAACAGGTCCCCGGCCCTTTCCTCAGCCAGACATGCCAGACACTCAAAGCGAGTCCACTGAAATGACTCGCGGAAGGAAGCGATTCAGAAGGCCATTGATGCCATGGACCCGGACACTCGCGCTCGGGCCATTGCCCGGATTGAGTGGGACAGAGGAGACTTGGCCGCTTGCCTGAAAGGAATTCGAGTCCAGTCAAATTGAGGTTGACAGATATTGCAAGCAGAGGAACAAAGGAAGCCCTTTAATCATCTTTGTAACTTATCAGGATTTTGTGGTTTGATTTAGTTGGCTCACTTGCAATATTTAGGAACACACCATAGTGGCCGCCAACAACGTTCGGTTTCCTCCGTGATTATGTTTGAAACTAATCGAACTTGGGCTCGCCCGCGCACCAAATCGGGGGCCTCTTTGGGGTAGTTGTCTTTTCAATCGAAGCCAACAGGCAACCACCTATGTTGCTGACACTCCCAATTGGAGTTGAGGGGCGGTTGCGGGGGTCATGTTGGGACCGTTGTTTTGGGTAACCCTATAACCCTATGGAGGGAAACCTCAAATGCATGGAATTCTTGTGGCTGTTCCAGGCACTTATCGACAACATGGCGCTGGCGCATGTGCCTGTCCCGGGCACGCAGACGCTGCCCCTGGTCAGCGGACCGAAATGGGAGGGAGGGGTTTACCCAGTTGCATGGGCCCCTTTTCCTTTTCTGTTGGATTCCCTCAAACACGGACGGTTCTCCTCTCTTTCGGTGTCTTTGGTAGCAGTCCTCGATGTGTCTTTTGAGTTCTTGGGCGGGTTTAATCAAAATATGTCCTTTTGGGATTTTTCGGCCCACCCACATCAGGGAGTGGCAGGTTCTCCCGTGTTGTTGTTAAGGTATTCTTAAAAGTAGCCTGTGTGTGACAGGCAGGGCCAATGATTTGATAGTTTCTACGAGTGCATTGTCATTGCTCTCAAACCCGCTATGCACGAAAGCAACTCGATTCCCCAATGCAAATACCAACGCACCTTGTGGTTTGTTTACCGTGGGGTGAAGTGGATGCCGCAACCATACCTCCACACCTCCACACCTCCACACCTCCACACCTCCATAACATGGACTCGAAAGTAGCCCCCTGGTGGCGGGCTTTTGCCCAAGTCGACTCTCTCCCTGCTCCTCCAGACATGAAGTTCAGCTCTGGCACGTGACTGTACATCCACGCAAGCGGATTCATTTGGCTGATGTCAATTCTGTTTCATAGCCCACAAGACATTGCCATTCAAAGCCTTCAAGGTGCGCTGCGCTTTTGAAATGCAGTACAGAGTCTTTATGGCACAGTCCACAGGACATATCTGAGAGCAGTTTATTTGTTCTTTGCTGCAGTCTTACTGGCCGGCCAAAGGCAAGACAAGAATGACCTGCGAGGGCTGGCAAAGTTCTTTGGTCACAGGGCCGACCAAAGGAAGAGCTGCTTCAAGACCATGGCGGACGTGGCTTCTTCTTTTCCGGCATGTCCAAATCGCGTGTCATGAGTTCGGGTTCACCATTGGCTCTTTTGTTTGTGCCTCAAGAAGTCCCAGTGTCCTGCGCTCAGTCGCAATGGCAGGACTGCGAGTCTTCCATAGGACCACAATGACCAATTCGGAGGCCAGGATGGGCATGGGAAATGGCCGTGTGGGCGGTTCCTGAAACATGAGACCCTGTCAATGGGTTGGTGTCCTTTCGATACGATTGATTCACCAACAGGGGGGAGCCCAGTTCCCTATTTGCCGAACCACCCTTGCAATTCGTGAACACTGCAAGCAATTCAAGATGCGTTGGTATAACTCCGCAAACGCGTTTTGCATTCACAAAGGCTCACTCCATACAGCGCTGGTACTATCTAGACGAGTTAGAGGAGCCGTTCTTCACACTGAAATAAACACGTTCCGGAGTGCTCAACTTTGGAGCAGGAGGTAGAGAACAAAAGCGTGTGGAATTGGTTTGGTAGGGTCAGGTACGATCGAGCCTGGGCCTAGAATTCCTTGGAGTTGAGGGTTTGGGATTCGGCTGCCCGAAAGTGTCTGGGATTTGATCAACAACTGAATATATGTATATATATATATATATTGGTTTAACAACCAATGACGTTAATATCATTAGCAACGGATTCACTAGATTGTAATAATGACTCAAAAGTATTTGAAAATGGAAGAAACAAATATAACAAACATATTAAACAAACAAATCGCTAAAGAAATGAACACTCATTAATAAGTTTATTATTATTATTCTTAAAAAAAAAGAAGAGATAATTCGTGTTGTTGAAAACGAAATGAATGATCAAATAAAAGGTGGGGACTCTGTGCGGCTGGATGTCATAACCATAGCCGGTGTGAAGAACTGGCCCGGGATTCTGGCCATGCGTGCAGGGTTTGGAGCTTATTTCACCCTGTTGTTCCGTAGAATTGTACCAGTTTCGTCAAGATGCCATGAAGCAAGACAGGTTGTTCGATCATGTCTGCCATGGATAATGGATTGCCCCACTCAAGCAGGGGATTCACTTTCCGCACAGGATCTCTGCACAGACACTGACTAATTGCTCTTTCAGGTCCAAGTGCAGTCTTAGGTATCTCGAGCCAACTTGACCCCAAGGAAATCCTGAGGTACTGAGGGATCCTTTGTGAGGGTACCCCTTTTCAGATTGGTTTTCGGGGGCAACCAGAAGGACAACCACCATTTTGGGGGTCTCCTATGTTGTGAGGGGTCCTGGTTTGTGTTAAGACACACACACAGCTAGCGCGACCTTTCCAATTCATGTTCGCCGTTTCGCGTGGCAGGCCATCCCTCGGAATCAGAGGGGCGCCCCCTCAGTGCTGCTGGCTGGTGCGAGTCCCAGTTTTTGGTCCTGGACGGAATTTGCGGGTGTGTCTTTGTGAGGGGACCTAAATGGTTGGCTTTCCTTTTGGTTTCCCTTCACCTACCAAAACTGAGTACCATAAAAACAGACCGAACCTTCTCCGTCTTGAGTGCATATTCGTTGCTCGATGATTTAGCCGTATCTCGTTTCAGGACATGTTCGATTGAACAGCCTGATTCGTGCTTGTGCTGTTGGGGGCCCGTTCCAGGCATTTGAGACAGCAACGTCCACTCACATGAAACACCAACACGAAGGCAGGCATGGCTGGGTGTCTAGTGGGTCTAATTTATGTTGTGGTTGTTTCATGTTGTTTTTGCAAGAATGTACGTTTACACAATAAGTCAATTGTTTTTGTCTTGAAGAACATTGTCAGGACGGGTCGGCTCAGTGCTGAAGTTACATAGAAATGTGTTTGCTGTTTAATAGCTTGTGATTTTGAATATCCCACAAGGAAGAACATCAGGGGCCACATATGACATGAGCTGCCTGCCTTCCACTAGCTTAATGCAAGAGCAAAGCAACAGTTGAGATTGCGTCCAGGATTATACATCTAGGTCTTCAAAGTGTAGACCCAAAAGCGAGACAGGCTGATCCGCCGGTGCGCCAAATAAATCAACATCAGGAGTTGCCTGCACTGATTTCAACCAGGCTCTGCTATTTCACTTTGGTGCATAAGCTGTTCGAAGGCAATGAATCTATCCCCAGGGATACAAGTCAAATGTGCCTGATGAAGAACGGGGACTACCCAAACAACATATATCCCAAAGATGGTTCACACATTTTCAGAGACTGAAGAGTTGGCTGTGGTCACCCTGAAGCTTTTGAGTTGACATGAAATGTTTCCTCGGTCCTAAACCCCATTATGTTTGACCAACCCCGCCTTTCAGGTTTTGCCCTGGGAGATACAAACATCTAATTGCCCTTTTGCTCGGCATTTGTTTCATGAGTTGTCCTTACAATTCGAGCTTCCCGCTTGACAGTTCGAGTTTCGCTTGTGCAAATTTCCGCGAAACCCGCCCGAGGCAAGCGTCGGGAAGGCCCGGTCTCTGACGACGCCTTTGAGGATCCAGAGAGCATGCGCAGCTTGGATCGCGTGGACGGTTTCGTCTTGTTTGGTGCTAGAAATTATTTCTTGGCTAAAGAAAGCCATAGGAAGCCTTCCTGAAACGTCTTCCCTTGTTGAGACCAGCCCAAAGGGATATATGCAAATCTTTACCCGCAGCATGGATCAATTCCACACGATTTTCTTTCGAAGCAATCTACAAAGGGTGCACTCAAACAACTACACGGCCCATAGTCATGAAGCAAGAGTGCGTGATAGCTTGTCTAAAGGCGCGATTCGCAGCATCGATAACAGAGATCTCGGTGAGCCTTAGTGGCTACCGGTTGTAGCTATGCTATATACGGAGGCATATAACGACAGCCGCCCTTCAGGAAGCTCTCTTTGTATTTAGCCGATCTTTGCCCCTTTCCACTCGCATGTACTTGGGTGTTCCAAACATAGTTGACCCATAAGCCTTCGGTGGGGAGAGAGTTCACGCACCGTTGCACATTCAGTGGTCCATCCATTTGTGTTCAGTTTTGACCACCTCTTGACGCTTCACGGAGTCGATGTCGTTACTCGCCAGCTTTGTGAAGCAACAGACTGAGAGAAGATTGTTGACAAAATGACGGCCCTTTTTCGGTCCCGACGCCATGTGAGGGCAGAATGACTCCAGAGCACGTCTCACACAATCCATAAACAAACAATGTTTCAACAAACAAAACAATGATGTGGCCTACTATCTCGTAATTCCAATGTTCAATTTTGTGACATACTCATGGATTAGTTCCACATAGCCTGATTGCTACTATTTCCAAAAAAACACATATGTATATCTATACATATACCTGATTGCTACTACATCCAACAACCATATGTAATCATACATATATATATAAACATATATATATATATAGTACTTATATCTAGATGTGTATACTTATAGTACTAATATATATATATATATACCTGGAGTCTCCATGACCCTAAAACAGTGGGGGTCATTACTCAAAATTAAGGGGTCACACTTACAGAACCACGAGTTACGTATCATCGCCTTTACCTCAGGGGACATCCTGCGAGCGCTGATGGCGGCCACGCCCATCAACATGGATGAGCTGGGAGGTGCCGGCCGGGGGGGGGGGGGGTCTCGCAGTGGGGGTTTCCCACATGTGACTCGGTCCCCCAGCAATTGGTGCCCTTTTTGACCGTTTCTTGTTTGGTTGGGAGGGAAACCCCCTACTAAAATAGACTACGGGAAAAAGTTGGTACCAACTTATTCTAACCTCTCTACTGGAGGACCTAGGTGAGGCGGCTTTTTGAAGTTGAATGATTTGGTGGACAGAATAAAGCGCTTGATTGGCGTGGCCGCAGGGTTGGTGGCCTAATTCAATAAAACACTACAGAATTTCAATGATTGGTGGCCAAATTTGAATGATTGGTTGAATTCCCCCAATTTGGTTGAATTCCCCCAATTTGGTCGAATACCCCAATTTGCTTGAATACCCCCAATTTTTGGTTGAATACCCCCAATTTTTGGTTGAATACCACCAATTTGGTTGAATACCCGTCGAACACCCCCAATTTTTTGGTTGAATACCCCCCAATTTGGTTGAATACCCAATTTGGTTGAACCCCCCCAATTGGTTGAACACCCCCCATTTGGTTGAATACCCCCAATTTGGTTGCATACCCGCAATTTGGTTGAATACCCCCCAATTTGGTTGAATACCCAATTTGGTTGAACCCCCCCAATTTGGTTGAACACCCCCCATTTGGTTGAATACCCCCAATTTGGTTGAATACCCCGCAATTTGGTTGAATACCCCCATTTTGGTTGAATACCCCCAATTTGGTTACCCCAAATTGGTTGAATACCCCCAAATGGTTGAATACCCCCTCAATTCGTTGAATGCCCCCAAAGTGGTTGAATGCCCCCACATGGTTGAATTCCCCCCCATTCAATTTGGTTGACAAACCCCAATTTGGTTGAATACTCCCAAATTGGTGGAACACCCTCAAATTGGTTGAATACCCCAAATTGGTTGAATACCCCTCATGGTGGGCGGACAGACACAAAAAAACAACGAAATGACGCCAGCAGTCCGTGGCCTTTCAAGCTACGCTTGAAGCTCAGTCCTCGGACCACGGATCTTGTTGATGGTGACGTGGTGTAGTGCAGCAGCCATGCGGAAGCAAGGAGCGTGTGGATTGCCTGGAAAGTGCCTCTGATAGCCTGGCGGCTGATAAGTCGACTACAGATGCACGCCAAGCAGAGTTGGCGGAGCGGGTGGACTACCAATTTAGTTGAATACCCCCAATTGGTTGAACACCCCCAATTTGGCCGAATACCCCCAATTTGGTGGAATACACCCAATTTGGTCGAATACCCCCAATTGGTTGAATAACCTTAATTTGGTTGGATACCCCCAATTTTTGGTTGAATACCCCAAATTTAATTGAATACCCCCAATTTGGTTGAATGCCCTCAATTTGATTGAATACCCCCAATTTGGTTGACTACCCCCAATTTGGTCGAATACCCCCAATTTGGTTGAATACCCCCAATTTGGTTGAATACCACCAATTTGGCCGAATACCACCAATTTGGTTGAATATCCCCAATTTGGTTGAACAAGTCTTGTGGAAAACCTGTACTATTGCTTGCGTTTATGGGTATCTTCCGCGTTAGGGTGTTGGCAAAAAACTGTGCGAATTGGGGTTGATCATGGGGTCCCTGCAACTGCTCTTCAATACGAATTCTCTGCAAAACCGTTAAGGTCAAACGTGCGGATGTTGGCTTCGGTCTTGAAGGTTTGAAACGCACTGCGTGGGTCAGCTACAATTTGGAATCCTTTCGGATCGGTTAGATGGAATTTGAAAGGAATCCCAAAGAAAGCCTTGCCATGCGTGGTCCAAGCAAGGCTGCTTCAACTAGATTTGGACCCTTTTTGGACGGGGTTGTTCAAAGGACGGAAACACCGTTGGAGGAGTTCCCTAGTGGTCCTCTATTTCAGGCTCATTACATCCATTTGACGCCTGCAACGCCAAAGTTTCGGCCACGGCAAGGCGACCAAAGAGGAGGCGAAATCCAAATGCCCAAGAGCGCCAGGGTCTCAAGGTCTCAAAGTTGCTTGGTGCGCGCTGGGTTCGGAGTTCTGATTTTCGCGCCTGTGCGGATGGATGTAAATATGTTGGTTCATCGGATTTTTTGTTTCAGCAAAGTGTGCTGTTGGTTCAAGCGCCTATAAATGCAACCAGGGGAAGCGAAGAAATACACGACAGGGACAGGCAATTCCCAACCCATTGTTTCTGATCGCTTTACTGCTTTACTCTCAGCACGCGAGCCCAGGCACTGTCTCTCGAGTGTTAGAACCATTTTGTGCACTCCCGACGTGGCAAGGCGGTTGCAATTCAGCTGTTTACATATCCTTCATCACCTTGTGTTTGCCTACACATTTCTGCACACATGCAGTACAAGAACCAATTACCGTGTCTCAATGCCCAGCAAGAATGTTCTGACAAGTTGCTTTATATGGAAGCCCGATCCGATATCGCTAGCGCACGGTCATGCGGGAGCACGGGCTTCAGTGTGTGCCATTCGTTGTGCGTTTCTGTTCGAGACCGTTTGGGATGCAAAGTATCAGGCCACTTGGTGATAGACCCTCTATCATGTTGTAGGGGTCGGCACTACGAGAGGGATACTAGCACAATTCAGATATGGTCATGACCTAAGTTAGTTTTGTAGTATCCCACAGCCCCATTTTGAACTTTGCAAGGCCTTATAGTGTAGTGGATGCCAACCAACTAGATACACAGCCAGGGGAACAGATTTGGAGCGTAAGTTGCTTTGAAGTGGACAGCGGGCTGCCCCGAAAGGAGAGTCGTGCAACCCCCCCCCCTGTCAGCCTCCAGATTGGAACGGTAGCCCAGTAGCCAGGACTTTCTTTTTTGTTTTTTTCAAGCTGGCTCCCTTTGTTTGTGGTTGTTTGTTCACTTTCTTGTTTGTTGTTTCAACCTGGTTCCCTTTAGGGACATGGAATCACTGAATCACCGGGAGGGTTTGGCGCCAATTTGGCGCCGCTCCCGTGCCGAGATCCCGGCGAGGGAGGAGGCGCTCAGAGCCCTGGAGGAATCCCAGCAGCCCCTAGCGCCTCGCATGTGACGAGAACCAGAAAACCGGTCCCTCAAATGGATTTCAGGGGCTTACCCGGTGCAGTTACCACCATTAAACCAATCAGGGGTTCATATAACATCGAAGTTTTGGGGTTCAAACCGCCGTGAAAGCAATGGTTGGGACATATATCATAGAACCACCATTGTTTGCCTCAGGATTCTCATTATCCAAGTTGGCCCAACCATTATTTTGATGGGTTTTCCCTTTAAACAGCCTTGTTTGAGGGTAGACGTCACTTCAATGGATCCGAGCATCGTTCAGGGACCCCGGGCCCCCTTCCCCCTTCATAACAATTCAAGGGACTCGGTAGATTGCAATGGTGTGTGGGGTTGGCATGCTTGCAACATTTTCATGGACACCCGGTCAACTTCTTCAGATTCCACATTTGGGGGTCGATCAAAAGGTCCTTGCAAGGAGTTATGTATTCGGTGACCATTCGTCTTGGCTTAAATCCCTCCGCGAAAGATCGGCGATGGAGTTCGCGAAAGAAACTTTGTTTTTCGCGAAAGATTCCGCGTTGGATTCTTGGAGGTATGCCTGTGCACTTACATATTTGCAGACCCCGCTCCCTTGTAGATAGGGAGATACGCAGCACCTACACTTGCATTATTGATTCCCTGCCTGTGTTGGGAATGGTGCAAATCAATAACGTTGGCTGGGCTATTTTGGAGCAAGTTTCGCGAAAGACCGGCGAAAGGCCAGGGAGCTTGTTGCAAGGTTCCGCACATCGTCGGCAAGCGCAAGTGGCAAGGGCGAATGACGGTGACTGCTTGCACTTGTCACTACGTACTGCACACAAGTGAACTGCGGCTACCGTGTTTGCCAGCATAACTGCGGCGGCCACAATGGCTCCAGAGCGCACGCTGCAAACAAAAGGGCGTGGCGATGGAGTCGCGAAAGATTCGCGAAAGAAACTTTTTTTTTATTGCGAAGATGGCGTTTTCCGGAAACAGGAATATTGATCAACTGCCATTTGTATAGCTGAATTTCCCTTCAAGGAAGCCAGAGGCTCATGAAGAATCATCATATGTTGTCTCAACTCTCTGTGTAATAGTAGCACTCCAATTTTCCACCAAGTCTGCTTCCTTTGATTTATGCAGAGTCTTGGGAAACATCAATTTGGGGGAACTCCAAAATCAGCATTGCTCTTTATTGTGAAAGTGCATCAGAGAGTGCTTTGGCCAGGATAACCAAAAAAGCAATTGCCGTGGGAGCTCATCGGTCAACAGGTCGGTGTTCGGCCGCATATGCGGCCTGAAATGGGTCAAACCATGCACCTTGGCAATTGGAACCAAAGACTAAAGCCTGCGTAACCCCAGCTGTTTAATTTTGAGCCACACTCAGGTGTTCCTGGGTTTGGGTTTCCTGAGAAGGAGGGTACTTGGTACTGTCATCTTTGTGGAACCACGGCACTTGGTCAAGGCACCCCCGCAGAGCGAAATGGACAGCACGCGTTGGAGAGTGTCTCAGAGGAAGCAACCAAACGTACAGGCCTGCCGCAATATGTGGGTCAACAGGTTGTTCAGTACAAGTGACTCATTGTTTTGCTATGTGTCACTTTGGGGAATATGGATTTTTTATTCATCAAATCGATCATATTGGGTCCTTTCTAGATTTATCAAGCTGTACCCTTCGTGCATCAAAGACATGACACTCCACTATGTGTGCTGTGCTGTTGGTTTCCTTCTGTGTCCCCGTATATATTTTAAGCCCGTCTCTGGTTCCACTTGGTTTCAGATGCATAGACCCATCCCAAGTCAGAGCTTCAACAAGTATGGGCATGCACAAACTCTATTGGAAAAGACGGCGCTTTTATCAGTTCCGAAGGGGGGTCCAAGCAAAGGGATAACCCAGGCTCCGCAACACTTCTATGTTGGGAGGGTCAATTCTAGACGTCCGGTGGTTGGGAGGGGGGGGGTCTGACGGTCCGCCCAGAATCTGCTCAAAGCGGTGGACGAAGAGATCGAGGCACGAAATAGAGATTACCTTGCAGAGGAACGAATTGAAGTTTCCTCTTGAGTTGGCCCTTGTGCTTTTGTCATTGTTGGTCGTGCGTGGTTTTTAACCAGCACCAAGCTCACTGTTTGTGGCGGTCTAAGGCAATGTGTCATAGATTATGTGTAGTTGTCTAGTTAGGTCACATACTCCCAGCGTGGCCGCAAAAAATCAAACTGTCACACAATGAAACAAGGTGACCAAGATCACAATGAACTTGCTCGCACACACACACACACACATGCGCGCGACACCACACGACTGGCACACATGTTATTCATTGCAGACTAAAGTCTGCACTGGTTGGACTTAATCTGACTGGGGGCCATCTCCACCCATGGCAAGTTTCACTATCGCCCGTTGTTGTTCATTCCTGGGAACTGTTCCAAGGTTGCCAACAGCTTTATGGCTGGGCCCCCAAATTGCTGTTCATCCAAGAGGCAACGCATTCAGGCCGAAGACTGCTAGTTCCATGGATCAGGCTTGTTGCCATTGACGAGCAATCATATGAAGCCAAGTCATATCTGTTGTTGAGTGAGAGTCTGTTTAACCGTTTGGGGGTGACCTGTGTGAAGTGTACGTGGGTTTGGGCTGGGCTTAGCCACAGGCTTCAGCTTTCTTCAGTGACTTTATGTTTATTTTTGCCTGTGCTGGGTTGAAGAATCCCTTCTCCTTAATGCTAACTTCCCCCCCTTCTTTTTGCATGTGGTGGGTTGAATACTAAAAGTGGTTGCCCCTAAAACCGGGGATTTCTTTGTTTCTTCTTTTCCACGTGGTCTGGGTCGAGGTTCCCAGTGCCATGCTCTGAACCATCCAGGCTGCGAACGCTAACGGCCGGGAGGCCTTGACCAAGACTCTGAAGAGGCAAGCGAGCGGATTTCAAGTTGATTTCTTCCAGTTGCTGAAATGAGTATGTTTTATAGACCGTTGTTTTTTGCTTTCCCTTGTTGGGTTTAAAGGGAATCTATCACTACTGCGTGTTTTTGTTCTTCTTTTTTTCCAGGGGACTTAAGCAAATGGACACTTTACCTGTGATTTAGCATGAAGTACCTGTCTATTTGTCAGGATAGCATGGCTGCAGTTGCTCCAGTCTGCCTCACCAACCTGTTGCTTTGCCAGGAATATTTAGAATATGTAGTCACATTTGTTTCTGATGTTTGCATCATTTCATCATCCCTGTTGAACAATTCAGCATGTTTGTCATTTAATGTACGATCATTCCCGATTTAATGAACTATCATTCCCGATTGCATTGTCCTTCAATTGTTCACCCATTTCAAAACGTGTTTCTAGGTTTGTTCTCTTTGCTATTCGAGGGATCCCCAACGGTAGGCCCGATGCGCGATTGTGATGAGGTTCCTCTAGCTTGAGGACATTTGGCCGGCTTCAACCCAAACCTTCCAAAGACCCGGTTAGAGACCTTCCATTTGCTTAAGAATATGTGCTTTATTTTTCCCTGTTGGTCGTAAAGGGGATATATCAATCACCATTTTTTCCAGGGGACTCAAGCAAATGGAAGAGACCCAGTTGGAACGAGTCCTTTGGGTGACATGTCGCAGGCTCATGGCTCAGTACCATCCGGACCGGAACCAAGACCAGGAGAAGGCCACAGTGCCCATTTTTAGGCGGGGGAAGTTGCGGCCATTGGCTCGGGGCTTTCTATGCTTTCCCTTTTCGGCTTTAAACAGAAGCTCCTGTGCCCCGTGTCAAGCGAGTTTTGTTCAGTGAGGTGCGATGTTTGAGGGGGAAAGGTAGGGAACCTGGAACCATGTGGCCTATGGCTGCAGGCTTTTGCATGTGGGCAAGTGGCAATATTGGCAGTCGTTGGTAACTAACTTGCACCTGCGTTTCTTGGCACCGGATTTCCCTTTTCCACCCCCCGAAGCCCCTGGCCCCCAAAACTCTCCCGAAATCACCCGGCATCCCTCCCCCGAATTCCCCACCAACCCCACCCCAATGAGCAAAAAGCTACCCCAAGACCCACAACCCCCCCGCATACCCCAAAAAAGGAGCCCCAGAACAAAGGACGCACCCATAACCAACTATTTTGGGATATGTACTTTTTTCCCCACGGTATGCTGTGTTTTCCCGGCCCGGGAGAAATTGAAGAAATTTGGGGTATGTACTCTGCGGCCCCGGTGGGCTTTTGTCCAGGGTTCCTCAGCACCGGTCTCAAAATACGAAATCTGGGGCATCACCTGGGCGTTGTTCTGCCCACACTGCTTTTGCCATCCCGGGGCTGAACACAAACCATCACGAGTAGCGCCTGGCATAGGCTAATAGTGAAAGTAGCAAGCACACATCCCTACCCCGAGAAGGTGTTTCCATTATTTTGGGATATGTACTTTTGGGGTATGTACTTTTACTCTTAGATGGTTTGGGGAGCACACGGGGGACGACCCACATTCCCACAACCCCGATTTCTCACAACCAGGGGGACAACCCAGTTTCCTGTCCTTTATGGGAAGCATCTCGGTTGCTGCGGGAGTTAACTGAAGGGTCCTTGTAAGGACTTATGCTATGGAGAACCATAGGCATGCTTGTACGCTTACATATGCGCAGACCCCACTCCCTTGTAGACGGGGAGATGTGTAGCGCCTTTACTTGCGTCCTTGATTTCCTGCTGAGCTGGGAATGGTGCAAAGCAATACGTTGGCTATTTTGGAGCAAGTTTCACGAAAGATCTGCGAAAGCCCATGGAGCTTGTTGCAAGGTTCCCCGCATTGGGTCCAAGACGGAGCGTCACAGCAAGCGCAAGTGGAACGCGCGAATGCGAGTGACTGCCTTCGTTTCACGTTGCAAGCGTGGTTGTTGGGCTTGCGAGCGCAACTGCAGCGGGAACAATGGCTCCACAGCGCACGCTGCAAACAAAAGGGCGCGGCCATGGAGTCGCGAAAGCTTTGTTTTTCTCGCAAGGAACTGCGCTTTCCGGAAACAGCATCTTGATCAGCCGCCAAGTGGCAAACCGTGCCTCCCCAAATTTGCGCAGGGTCCTTCTATGTTCCTCTTCAGTGGCTTCAACACGGCCCGGTGGTCGTCAAGCCAATTTTTGGGCGGGTCAAATTTCCGAGTTTCCTAAAGAAAAAGGTTTTCTTTTTTTCGCAGACATGGACTTCCTAATCAGGAATCAGCCAAACCTGCGCTGGTCGAAGGCAACCCCTATAGTCGCATTGGATTGCCATCTGCATGGAAAGGAAACCAGCATTATTTGTTCATGTTTTTCCGAAGACTCCCTACTTACACATCAACGGAGCAGAGCCCAAAACCCACGGTTGGCTGGCCATTTTAGTAGGTGTCCCTGCTAACTTAGCAAGGCCACATAAACCTTTACAACCATGTTGGTAGAACAACAAGTTGGCCCAAACTTTTCTTCGCAAAAAAACATGTGAAGCTGAGTGATCATCGTGCTGACGTTCACGCCATGAAGATCAACATAGACATACCTGAGAACTCCGTCGGGCAAAAAACAACGCCGTTGTGATTTTGGACGGGCATTTCTCCGCCGCAACAACAAAAACGACGTTGAATTCAAGAAACGCCGGCAGTTAGCAAGAAACGCCCTTGGCCCCTGGCTGATCCAAATCAGCTCAGGGCCTCGGCGCAAAGCAGTCTCAGAAGGTAGCAACATGAAGCGTTGAACACGACACAAAACGGGCTTTCGCCCCCTTGCAAGGCGGCTTTGGTCGATTTGTGACATTCGATCCGCCGTTAGGACGCGCGTTTCCGCCGTCGGGACGCGCGTTTCCTCTGTCGGGACATAGGTTTTCGCCGGTGCAAGTCAACACTTTTTGCGGCAAAGCAAATGGGTACCGAGTTTCACCAACCCTCAAAACCTAGCACAAAACCTGGCGAAGTTGCATAGTCGCGGTCCGAGGTGCGCAGATCTTGCACAGCAGCCCACATCAGGCAAAACGCCCACCAACCGCAAAAACACCGTCGCAAATTGAATTGCAAAACGCCGCCACAACCCGCTCCCCTTCGAGTTCCGCCGCTGGACGGCAAAAGGCGCCTTTTTCGAGTCTCAGGCCATTTGTTGCTTTTAGAATTTATAGGTATGAGGGTCACAGAGCTCCCAGGCGTTCGCTTATGCACATCAAATGTGCAGCATGCTAGCTGTTTTTTCAGTGGCGTCTCGAACATTCATATCGCCCTGTTGTGGGAACGTCCTCCGCATGCAACCATCGTGTTGCTTGCATCATGGCAGACACGGAGCAGACCAACAGAGTGTCCAAAAGTTATGTTCAGGGGTCCCTTCCGAAACCCGCCGAAGCCCGAGATTTGTGTAAACAAGCATCTGCTTGTGTGAGTCAACGAGGAATGGCGGAGGAGACAGCCACAACCCTCCGTATTTCCTGTCGGGGATAGATTCCCCAACGACGACATAGTAGGTATGCAAACATGTTTGGATCATTTGGCGACTTTGCAGATTCACCGGGAAGCAATCGGCTGCTTTTGCAATTGATACACATGTTCTCCATTCCGAAAAAGGTGGTGAGGAACATAGATATCATAGATCTTACCGAGTCACTCCTGCGTGCAAACTCGAGTTTTGTATTGGAGGCCCATTTTTGTCCAAGTGTATCCAAACCACACCAGGTTTCCTTTCAACTCCGGACCATGGCCATCCGAAGGTACCTCCGGCGCCTGCGGAAGGAGCAGGGACGGCCCGCCAGCGTCATGGCGCCCACCAAGGCTCTGCCGATCTGGTTGCCTTCTCGGGATCCTACCAGGAGTCTCTATGACCCTTAAATGGGGTCTTTACCCAAATTAGTTGGGGGTCATGGATCCATTTTTTTAAGGGTGGAGACTCCAGGAAGACTCGGTGAGTTTGAGTGGCATCATGTGTTGGACTTGAAGGGGCCTTTGGTTTTTCAGATTTTCAGTGGCACCATAGCTGCAGGGCATACCAGGTGAGTTTCGGCGTAAGAGGCCCAGGCCAACAGGTCTCAGTCCGTGCGGATTGGATGTCCAGGCGGCCCTCAGGTTGTGAGAGTCTTTCCGTTGGTCGGCAGAATGGGCTCGACCCCGCTGTTCAGGCGCAACACAACTATTCTTTTTTGCGGGTCCCAAATGGGGGCACCAAAGCCTTTGCCTGTTGCATCTCTCGTGGTCACCATGTTTTAGTCTTTGATCTGCGCGCTGCTCCGATGGTGGGGCATTCCAGTCACATTCTGGCCAGGATCGTGTGGTCGACCGCCTCCGAAAAAAGGCTGGATATTGGGATTTCGGCACTTGCGTTGAGGGTTTAGGTGGCTCTGATGGCCTGGTTTCTGGAGAATCCCGCAAGGCGTGGTGATTTCCCGGCGTGGAGGGATGTGGAGCAGATGCGAGAAAGGGTTGGGATGTGAGGCAGAGGGTTCAGAAGTTGTTGCCGCGGTGGTCACCATCGAAGGAGGTTGACATGTGTCAAAGATTCATTCTCCGGCCTTTTCTAGGCGTTTTGGTTTCCTGGTACGTAGTTTTGGGCGTGTTGGACGTTCTAAATGGTTTCTAGGAGTTTTGGGCGACCCCCGAACCCAAAAAACTACTTTTTGAGTTGCGGGTGTTTGCGGGGTTTTGCGGGCGTTTGCGGGCTTTTTGCGAGCGTTTTGCGGGTAATTCCGGGCGGGGAAAACGTAGAAAGGGACCAATTCTGCAATCTAGGAGTTTTAGTAGCTTTAGGCGACTTCACGAAGAAAGCATCAATATTTAGGAAAAGCAAGTTAAACACGAGAACTAAAAGGAAATTCATGGAGAATGAATCTCCAACGGGAGGGCCTAAGGGGATGATATGGGTTGCACCTACCGGTCATCAGCAAACAGGGGTGACTTAGCAAGGCTCCGTGTTACTTCGCAAGGATGTTGATGATTGCCAAATGCCTCAATGCCATTCTAAAACAGGGGTCCCAAAAGAGCGGTTCCCTTTCAACCAAAAGGAAAAGGGGTCCACCATTTTGAAAAAATCCCAGATCTTGCATAGTGGCTGCCAGAGGCCCGCAAGCATGGACTTGCTTTTTCTCAAGGTTGTGCGAAGCCATGCCTGGAGGTCTTGTTTTGGCCATTGGTGATTGGTTTACCTTTAGCCAGTGTTCCGAGTTCATTGGGTCTCACAAGACCCCATTTGACAATGAATCACCGCGGTTCTTTCTATGCGCCGGTCGGCAGGCGTCGAAAATCGCCCTTGGGGACCCTCGGCTGCAGCGGAGTTGGTGCCAGAAATCGCTGTTGAATCGGTTGGACGCAAGTCCTCCACTTTTGCGCCACTGGTTTATCTTCAATCTGACTGGGAGCAATTTTGCTTGACCAAGAAAGCACGCTACCGCATATGTCAAAGAAGTACTAGGTTTTTCCAGCGTGCTCTCCTAGTGAGTGCTCATGCCTCGAGCTACTCAACTTTATTCACTTTCGCTTCTAAGACGCCAGCTATGTGTAACTGCGCATTTGACACATGGAAACAAGGACACATTGGATTCGTTTTTATCAATACACTAGTGTGGCTTCACCCAAACAAGTTGATGGCATGACGCTTTGAGAATGAGGCAAAAACTACCAAATGATGAAATTGCGGGAATGCGGCCAAGTGTTTTGCGAAACACTTGTACTTGTTGTTCCTCTTCTGTTTTTTTATGCGTGTGTTTGGGGCTCGGTGGATGGGCGGGCGGGCGGGCGGGCGGGCGGGCTGGCGAGCGGCTGGGTAGGTGTGGGTGCAGGCATGGCCCAGCTTGTTTTGGATTGTTGACACAGAAAGGTTGAGCCCTCAGACCCGCTGATCAGGCTCAGCGTTCCCAGAAAAGCACAAACCACAGGCAAAGAAGCCTCACAAGACCTGCCAATTGTGTTAAGGGCGGGCATTGGACCCTTTGGGGAGACCTGCTTCCTGCCTTTTGGCCTTTAGGGCAAACTGAAAAGCGGTTGTTGGGCGAACGTTGATTGCATTGACGTCATCCACGTATTTGCGTTGAGCCTGCCGAAAGGGTTGCTTGCATTGAAGGTTGGCGAAGGCGTTGCTGGGTGAGAGCACTGAGCCTCCTGCTTGCCTGGCACCCCGGGGCAAGATTTCTGCCGTTGGCGCTTACGGCTTATGAACCACACATACTGGAACCATGCATGCAATGCTTAGGGTGCACCAGTCTTTTCACGAACCTGGATACCAGATATCTTGCACCTAGCCCGTTCGCTTTCGTCTGCGATTTTCTGCGGCTTCTCGCTGGTGGTGAAGCTGCTTCCAATTAGACTGACGCCGGGCGTGCTTGGCGTGCGTGGCTCAGGCGGCTTGCCCGGAACACGGGGCTTCAGGGTGTAGAATCGCTTGTCTTGAAGGGCGCCACCGCGCGCTGTCGATTTTGATTGTTTGTCTTACGCCTGCCTCCTTTGAGCTGGGATTCGATCTGAGAATCAACTTGTTGCACTGCAGGGCCGAGCAGATACCCTCTCTCCCAACATTCCCTCAGGAAGCTGATCTTTCAGGTACCCTTCAATAGGGGCCATGTTAGAGGAAGGGTATGCTGATGATTCATTGTCAATTTCTTGGATCCCGCTGAAAAGCAGCCGCAGCAAGTCCAGACCGTTGAGCCCTGCTTGAAGCATGGGCAAGTTTTCCGCGCTGGCTGCAAAAAGCAGAGTGGCCGCCACCCCTGACGTGTATTTCCTTGGATCATGACTGCTCCAACCGAGGTCAGTGTTCAACAAGCATCGGGAATGAGCTCATTGATGTGATGCCCGTACTCACGCAGCTTCCAAAAAGTGGTGCATGGCAAAGAGAGAGGTGATTGTATGATTGTTGGCATGCCTTTTAAAACAAAGTTTTTGTAGTTGAACGCTCTCGATTTTTGTTGGCCCATGCTGGCGACTCATTGCTCAATGCCAGGAGCTCAAAGGCTGAAAGTACATCTATCAATATATATATATATATTCAGCGTCCTCGGGCCCAAAGTAGCTGTCGCCCAGTAACAATGCAAAGTTGGTTGACTAACCCATCAACCAAGGGTTCATACCAGGGCTTCCCATATGGACGCACAGATTCAGCGTAAAAAGAGAGAAAGCCCTCGGAAGTGCAGAGAGACCTGTTCAGACGATCGAGTACCTGAACCGCAAGCTCACTGAGAAGGAGCTGAAGGCGGGGGGGTTGCAGCTTCGCAGCGGGATTGTGTTTGGGCAAGTTGTAACAAAAACATGGGAAAGTGCAGCTATATAAATGGTTGGATGCATGCCTGGTTCATCAGAGAATGGTTTGCCCCATCCAGAGCTGGTTTATTGCAAGCCCTTTGAAAGCCTGTAAACACTGGTTTCCCATGAAAGTGTTGCAAGATTAGTTGAAACCTGAATATCCAAGCCAATCATACGATCTTCTGGCTGGCACATGGGGCAAACATCATGTAATGCATTACTTCAGTGCGTAGCATTGTAGGGCGTGGAATTAAGATGCGTGACCAGTGACAAATTGGACCAGGGACCCTTGGGATGGCTTTGACGAGAGCATAGGTGTCCTTTTCGGGTTGGATAGGAATACATATATCATGGGTTCCACTGGTTTAGATTGGTATGATTCCATTTGCCGGGGCCATCTATTTTTCCAGAAGGTCAAACATGCCAAGAGCACTGAGGGCTTTCTTGCACGTGCCACGTGTCAAAGCCGCTCCCTGCCACGTGTTGCCAACGGCATGCCAGACGATGCCTTCATCCGCTCCTACGACCTGGCATACGGCCGGGTACCACAATGTCGCTGAGATGGTTTAAGATGTTTTGAGTAGATGCCTTTAGAGACAAAAAATGATCAGAGGTTACTTTTCGGATTGGCCTGTGTGAAATGTCTTTTGGATGAGTAATACTATTACTGTGAGCATGCATGCCAAAAGGTGAACATGCAGACCATTGCTACAGATGTATCGGAGATATGAACCTTTCCCTTGCGTGTTTTGATTATCTAATGTTGACATAATGTACATGGGCCGGGTGCATGCGCACAGGCCTTTGTGGAGCCGACTCTCCGGTACTTAATAGGCTCCATTCAAAGGAAGTTCCTGAGCTTCCCAGGCAATTCCCCCCGAAGGGTTACCTTTTGATCTAGCCTTTGGAATCCACATCTTGAACCTGTCAGGGAATCAAAAAGCTAAACCGTGTGTTCCCAGATCCCTTTGGAAGAGTGCCGTTGCTTGGCTTTCTGGCAGTCCTGGGCGTGCTACCGCGATTTTGAGCTGCATGAGGAGATGCGCAGAGCAAGGTGACCTTTTGGATTCGTCATGTTTCGACTCTCTCAGTGATTATTGCGACCCGGGGAAGAACGAGCGACAATTACAAATACAAGCAAGAGTGATGAAGGTTCCTTTGCGGTGCCTTTTTTCCTGCTTCTGAATTATTCCCTAAGTGGCCTCATTTTTCTGAGAATGTAGTTCAGGTCAAATTGGATCAAGGTACCTCCAAGTGGCCTATCTCCTGAGAATGTGCTTCAGGTCACCTTGGGTCCAAGTACCTCCCATGGCCATTTCCTCTCCCGAGGAGAGCTCGTTCCGCGGCAGCAGCTCTTTAGCGGAGCTGCTGGGTAAGGTGGAGAGCAGGGCGCCCGGCGCGGCTTGGGCAGGTGGACTGTGGCGAGGTTGGGTTCGTGGCTTCCTCAGGAAATATGGCCATGGGTCAAAATCCGAAACGTTTTTTCCAGGAAACATCTCAATCCTCACTAAATTAGGTTCTAAACTGGGTGGTGAATTCACCTACCACCCAAAATGGGATCCCATTGGTTTTGACCCACAGCCATATGGTGAGCCCCAAAAGAGCCTTCTTGTGCTCGCGCTGGGCTGGACATCCTCCAAGTAAGTCATAGAGATGGGCTAGCCGCTTGTCACCTGTTGGAGCCATCTCCGACTGTGGCCGCAAAGTAGTGGGCCCTTTTCTGCCCCAAGATCTTGATGCGGGCCGCTGAGCTCGCAAAGAGTTGACCTTGCGGAATATTTGGCGACAGCCCCGAATGTCAATGCCAAAAACACGCCAAAACAACAAGCAAAACAAGTTGCAAGGAAAATCAGCCAGAAGCCATCAAATTAGACCTGGATTCTGTTTTGTTTGCCTCTATGTGTATGGGTAGCACGGCAGTCGAATTGGCAGTGAGGGATTGAATTGGATGAACGGATCGGGTTTCAGTTTCTGTTGCTGGTTGTTCAAGGGCGTAAAGATCAACTTCTTGAGAGAGCAGTGCAACTGGGTGACCTGACACAGATGTTCGGATGGCGAAAGGAGAGGAGAGTGGTCTTTGTTGTATGTTCAACACGATGCTTACCATCGCAGAATCGCAGCCAAGCTGTTTGCCCGTTTGCTATAAGGCAAGGGTTCACAGCTTGCCACTGTCAAGACTGTCGAACGTTCCCTTCTGCTTCAACAGCGAAGTTCCTTTGATCTGTAGGGTCCTGCGGATTCATCGGAAGCTGATGTTATGCTCCTGTTTCGTCAAGGGATGATTTGTTGTTGGAGCGTCGTGTGTGAGTGGCAAGACCCTTTTTGGGACCCCCTTTCAAAGGCAACAGACACCTGTTGAGCTCAAAGGTGCCAAAGCCTGCGTGTGTCCAACGAATGTGTGGGCCAGGGCATGTGCCGCCTTTGGCTCCGAGCATTGCAGATCGCGCAATTGAAGCAAGTCCTGCCGCGCGACGCCTTTGTCGTGTCAAACAAGTCGCAGCGAGGGGGAAGTGGTCAACATGTTGAACTTGGTGGCTCTTCTTTAGAGGGTAAAGATGGAACCAGGCTTCCCAAAGGGAGTATGTTTAACACAGGCCGTACTCCCCTGCTGCCATTTTGAGCAGGCCAGGCAGCTTGAACTCATGCTGACTTCACTGGCACCGATGTGCAGCTGATCCATTTCACAGTGAAGCACAGAGATATCCCGAGTTGTTCTGAGTTCATACCTGCATCACGTGGGCATGTGTTTGTTGTCTCGGGATTCTGTGAAATGGAAAGCAAAGGGAAGCCACCCATATTTGTTGGGGCACTTTTCCAACCTGGCGACAAACACCCACAAGCAGTTGCAATCCGATGGCTTGGGTGCCACTGCTGATTCCAGAGGCCTGAGCGGCGCGAGTGGCGCAAATCCCGGTTCCTGTGTTGGTCCGCTGGTCAGAAACGTAAGCCGGATTGTCTGAGGTGACACTCGTGAAATTGTGCCAGACAATGCAGGGGAGCTATTTGACATACTAGGCCCTGGGATTCAAACCGCCATTACTACAATGGGGGTTCGTACAACCACGATTTGGGTCAAACATTTTTTTCATGGGGGCTGAACCCTAGGGTAGGGTTAGTCTGTGATGGAGAGGCGGGTTCAGAAGCACGCGGTGTCTCCAAGTTATTTTTGCTTTCCGCTTGACAAGCGCGCAAGGCGCATCGCTGTGCTGATCATCATGCGCTCGGGGAAAATTGAACATTCTTGAAGAGACATAGAACCTGGAGTAGACTTGGGAGACATTTTACACTTTATATACCAGTGACTCAAATGGAAGTAAACAATAAAATATACAGTCTACAACTGGGCCTAACTCTAATCATGGAGCCATCATCGAACGCTGTTGACCTGGTAGCTGCGAGTACTTTTTGGTTCAGACCTTCGAACAATATTGCAGGCCGTCGGCTTACTTTGCCTACTTGCTGTCCAAACTCCAGAAGGCGTGTTTGACCTCCCCTCTTGACCTTTTAGTGTATGATGGTGTATGGGTCCAAAACACAGGCCAACACAAAGGGTGGTGCATAGTTCCTAACTTCTTTTTTAAATTCCCCCAAACCAAGCGAAAAAGGGATAATTGTTTCATACAGACGCCACTCCTTTGTGTTTGATGGCTGGAACAATGGACACCATCTTATTAGGGGTCTATTTTAGGTGCCGCAAGGTCTCCAGGGTTTGCCTCAGGATCATATGCCCACGGAGCAATGGGAAGCAGAAGCGTCGCCGCAGGCGGATTTTTCCGAGGTTGGTGAAACGCGGTAACTTGCATCCAGTGAGCTTGAATCGAGCCGAAAGGACATCAGGGCCCATTTTTGTTGACAAAACCCAAAGTTGTAAGTGGCTGACTGTGGTTCCTTTCTTTGAGGTTACCCATTTTGTGCGGCTTTTAGAGGGAAATTGAAAAGGCAGCCACCTGTTTGGATATTTTTATTCCCCCAACAGCTGAAAGCTTTGGGGTCTCAGCCCAGATAGGCTCCGGGGTGGTTCGGGGCGTCCCTGAGCTAAGGTTCCACCAGGGTTCCACCAGGGGTTCCACCAGGGCAGGGTTCCACCAGGGTTCCACCAGGGTTCCACCAGGGTTCCACCAGGGTTCCACACCAGGTTCTGCAAGGGCGGGGTGGTCTGGGGTGGTTTGAGGTAAGGTTCCACGAGGGTTCCACCAGGGTTCCACCAATTTCTTCGAGGGCTGCGGGTTTGAGGAAGGTTCGCGAGGGTTCCGCCAGGGTTCCACCATGGGTGGCTCGAGGTAAGGTTCCACGAGGGTTCCACCAGGGCTGCAGGGTGGTCCGGGGTGGTTTGAGGTAAGGTTCCACGAGGGCCCGTCGTCTGAAAAGCCATCGGATCAAGATCGCTTTGCTCATTGGCGGAACACTAAGCAAAACCGAAATCAATGGTTTTTAGCACACTTTCACTGTTTTGTGACTTGCTCACTTGCTCAGGCAAATGTTTGGCTTTGTGGCAAATCAGATCACGTCGCTGCGGAACTCACGGTGCAGGTGCTTGGTGGGCTTTGGGTTCCAAGAATTCCACGAGGCTGCGAGGGCTGTGCGGTCAGAAGGTTTCCACCAAATTCTGCAAAAGCTAAGAGGCAGCCCTGAATAAAGCTTCCAGCAAAGTTTCACGCTGAGCTCCACGAAAGTTGCATGAGAACGTTTGCGAGGTTAACCGGGCCTAGGTCGGGGCCCGATTGCACTGTCGGGGCCCGCCCGATTGCACCGTTTGGGCCCGATCGGCCCCGATTGCGCCATCGCGCCCCGATCGGGGCAATTGTACCAAGCTGGCATCGCCTAGTTTTGCTATAGATACAGTTGCAATCCGCATACTACGGAAAACCGGCGTTGAGCTATAATATGGGTGGCTGGGGTTGCACCACGGGACGATCAGGGCCCGATTGCACCGTCGGGCCCCGATCGGGCCCCGATTGCACCGTCGGGCCCCGATCGGGCCCCGATTGCACCGTCAAGCCCCGATCGGGCCCCGACTGCGCCGTCGGGCCCCGATCGGGCCCCGATTGCGCCGTCGGGCCCCGATCGGGGCCGCGTCAATTGTACCAAGCTGGCATCGCCTAGTTTTGCTATAGATACAGTTGCAATCCGCATGCTAAGGAAAACCGCTTAGACAATCCAACGTCGCGCGTTGGACATCTTTTTGCGCAAACGGCATCTGACGATGCCAAACGCAGCCAGGCCTACAAATCGCGGCTGTTCTCGCCAAATCGCGGCCGAATTCTCGCCAAATCGCGGCTGAATTGCTGCCAAAGTGTCTATCATCAGACGGCGTCGTTTGTAGAAAGCTATAATATGGGTGGCTGGGGTTGCACCACGGGACGATCGGGGCCCGATTGCACCGGGCCCCGATTGCACCGTCGGGCCCCGATCAGGGCGAGATTGCGCTGTCACTCGTAGCTTTGCTCTACAAGGCGGCATCCTCAGCAACGCCGGCGGTAAGGATGGTCCCGGGGCGTTCCGCGAGGATTCTGGGAGGGTGTGGTGCTGTTGGGGATATCGCCCGAGCTTATTTTTATTTGAGACACACCCAAGTCCTCAAAACATCCCGAGCCTGGGCGGCCGTGCTTGCTTGCATAATCCTTGCTTGCAGGTGCGTGTTGATGCCAAGGTTGCTGCCACTCGTTCTCAGGATGTCAAGGTATGTGTGCTTGTGTGTCAAAAGCCAAGCACTAATTCATGCGCCCATATCAGCTGGTTTGTCAACACTCCTCTGAAAGGGCCCATGGTTTAACACACCTGTCACGTGTCGCTCAATTTAAAAGGTTGGATATAACTACCACATGATATCCCCAGGCACATGAGTTGGACCCTGAGTTGCCAACATGTGTGTGTGTTGTTTGCAGGCGCTGGTTTTCATTTGTACACTTGCCAATATGTAAGCGGCTCGAAGCAGTTTTGGGGCTGCAACTTGCATGACTATGCAATAGGATGAGCATGGTGAGCCCATGAACGAGAAGGCAAAACTATTATGGGAGTTTCTCTAAAGGTTGTTGTGTTGCGGTACAAAGGGGACGATATTTGGTGCTACGTATTTATCTTCGGGAACGCACTGGAGTTCGCCACAGATCAGAATTGTGCCGTTTTATTGGGGTTGTTTGTTTTCCCGTTTGGTGGTTGTTTTCATGGGGAATCAAAGGGAAACCAACCGTTTTGGGGGATGCCCTAAAACAGACACCCTGGTCGTTTTTCAACAAGGCACCCAGCTTTCGAGACAGGTTTCATGTCGGGGGGTTTGCTTCCACATATCTTCTGACATGTGTGTGTGTGTGTGTTTTGTTTGTGTGGTGGGTACTCTTTTCAGGTTGGTTTTAAGGGAAACCAGAAGGGAACAAAACACGGAATCCATTGTTGGGCCCTATTTTGACACATACTTCCGTCCTGATGTTTGCCACTGAGCCAGAGTCCATCCTTGTTTCGGGAGCTCGCAAAGTCGGTTCAGGGCCTTCAGAGGCAATGCCAACACTCAACATCATACATCCTGACACGAAATGAATGAATGAGTATTGAGGGAACTGAGCAACCTGTGTCGATTGGCTGCGGGGTAAAACATATGCTTGGGTCGCTTGGTACAGTGCAACAGTGGCTGCTGGTACTGGTACCTCTCTTTGCTCCCCCATGGCACCCTCCCAGGTTGAGATGTGCTATCAATCCCTGCAGTCACGCTGCAGGCAGCAAGTGTGGGTGTGGCTCAAAATTAAACAGGAGGGGCAAACCGCAGGCTTTGGTCCATGTTTCCACGTACCAAACCAACCCATGTTGGAATTCCGGTTTTTTGAGCCACTTCCAAGTGCTGTCGATGCCAAGTGTCTTTTCTCGTTGGCTTCGCATGAGAGGTGGAGGTGGTTGCCTCCACCAAGTCCTTCCGTCAGCTGGCGAAGTGTCGGCCCCACGATGGCGACCGCATCCTGGAGATCGGCGCCTACATCGAAATTCAGCGGTCAGACACGTGGAGTCTCCAAGGAATATGTTCCATTTTACGGTAGCCTCAGAATATGGCTTTCTTTGTGTAAACCAGATGAGGGCCAGGGGTGTGTATCCAAGTTTAGGACCCTTACTGCAAAGGTCCGAGGTTCATCCAAAGTGAGGACTGGGGAAGGGAAGGCTTCCTGGCACCAGTAATACAAATTTGGCTTGGCAGTCGATGTGGTGCTTGGTCGGGTCCTCAGAGGAGTTCTGGCTTTGGGTTGTTCATGGAGACGGGGGTGGTGCGAACAATCCATTCAACGCAAAGGCGTCCATCTCAGCAGCGGTATTCCCTGACAGCACTATATACGTATTGTCAGTGTCAGCGGGGCAGCTTCCGCAAACCAGGGACCAAATGGCCAGAAGGGTGGTGACGGTAAACAGACCTTTTCCGGGTCCCAAAAACAGGTTCACCATTTTGAGGGACCTATCTGTCTGAGAGTGAGCGCTCGGGGTCTGACACGTCTGGCAAAAAGCGCCTTATCGATCAGCGCTTGAGCAGCGCAGTTTGGCGCTGGAAGGGCGCGCAGGGCGTCCATGTTTCGTCAAGTTTGCCAAAATGGGGGAGCACTAAGAATGGTGGGTTGTCTTCTTCAGAACCAGCCAGCAAAAAGAGGCATACAGCAGAAGGGGGTTGTTGGTGCAGGGACACTGAACTGAAATGGCTTATTATCAAAAGGTCTAGGACAAATTTGTGTTGAGCAGCCCAAAATCGAGGTATATCTTCCTTGCATGTGGACCAGAATCAAACCATGTATTTTTTGTTAATGTTGAAACGCATGTGGAAACATGAACTGTGTGTGGAATGCTTGACCATAATGGCATGTGCCATTTTGGCTCAAGCATCGCTCTGGGTTCCTGGAACCCAAGCTGATTGAAAACCCACCCACCCACACCAAGGTAAGAGGTCATGGCTGCGGCGCCCGCCAAACCCGTGGCACCAGGAGGAGATGCCCGAGCTGGAGGCACCGGCCCCTCAAGGGTGCCACCAACCCCGGGGGGGACCAGCCCATGTCCCAGCAGGACCTGGACTCTGAGGACGGCAAGCTGTCCCTTATCCTCTGGGCAATGAAGCGGCACCAGGGAGAGCTCCGGATGTTTGGGGGGGTTTGGAGGAAGCACGCAAGCGGTGAGATCCCCCGGGGCGCTGACCAGCAGTTTAAGCTCGCGCCGGAGGAGCTCCTGGCCCTTGAGCGCAGGACTCACCCATGCACGTGCGAGCAGGACCACATCGACCCAGTCATCTACACGGCCTTGGAGATCCGGGCTCAGGTGAACCGGGGTGAGCGCCCGGCACCTGAACAGGTGGTTGGTATCTTCTGGGCGAGGGGTGATGGGGTGTTTTGGACCAGACAGACGAGAACGTGGGTATATCTACTCGGCCTGGACCACCTTCCCGTTGATTGTGAAGACGCAACGCCGGGGCCGCAATGCGGAGGGCTCGACCTCGGACAAGTGGATGGGCAACATTATCCAGATGAGGAAGGAGGCGGCGCCCTTCCTGGAGCCTGGGCATCCCCAAGCCGCGCAGCAAGGAGGAGTGGAGTTACATCTTCAAGGAGATGGGGACATTCTTGGCGGCAAAGAATTTCATCGTGAACTGCCCGTTGCCCGTGATGGAGATGCCGGTGGCCCCCATCCATGACAGTAAGGAGGCGCTGCGGTTCAGGGCAATTTGCGACAAACGGATCACCCTCCCGCTGGCCTCGCTGAAGGCCTTCGACTCGGTCTACACCAAGTTGGTGGCGGGCCTGAGCAAGTCGTCGATGGTGGAGGTGAAAGTCCAATGTGGTCCACGACTGGGTCGAGCGGTCCCGCAGGAGGCGGCGGGGGCCTTGTATGACAGGTTGGGCTACTCCCAGGACCTCATCCGGCAGCTGGGTTGCTCCCCCCCTTTGGGTGCCGTTGGTTCTGGGGGGGGAGCGGCCAAGGAGGCGGACCCAAAGGCCAAGGTCCTGGGGGGGGCAGACACCACGCTCCGCACCCCAGACCAGGGCACCAGGCGGTACCCGCCCATCACCACAGCCACAGTGACGGCGGTCGCGGGCCAAAAGTACGTCAACAAGCACTTTTCCAAGGAGGCGAAGCATGTGTTTTGGGGCTCCGTGGAGTGTGGCTTGGTCTTGCCAAGCATCAGTGCCTGGGAAGTGGTGAGCAAGGAAAAGTTCAAGACCACGGGGGGCTATATGTGCAGATTTTGCAAGGGCTTTTGGAAGGCGAGCTGCGGGGGACCACTCTGCTCCAGATCACGGGGTGGCACAGGGATAAGGCCACCTGCTTGCAGTTGGTGATGGACGAGCCCCAGGTACAATCAGTGGATCCGCGATCGGATGGAGTTCTACAAGAGGGTGGAGCCAACGGAGCCTCCCAGGGATGAGCGGCTGGTCCTGGGCGACGCGAGCACCCCCCGCATGCGCTTCAGCTCCTCGAACGGGCTGGGGGATGTCTCCACGGCCTTGTGGTCGGTCATCCTGAGCAACCCGGAGAAGTCGGGGCTGGCGGCAATCCACTCGGTGGCGAAGGAGGCGATCCTGAAGGGAGGGAGCCGCTAGGTTTTGTCTCACAACCCTGTCGGATGTGGGAGTCGTGTGATCTCTTCCTCCCGGGACTTGGGTGCCATTGGCCCCGTCTCCGGGGGGGGGGGGGGAAATGTCTCTTATTCCATTTTGGTGGCGCACGTGGGTTTTTCCGGTGGCATGGCAGTGGAGCCACGTCACGGCAGCTTGATCTCCTCGACCATGAGGCCACATGCATTAGCTGCCCCAAGGACGGGCCATCTCAGCCACGGTTCGGAAAAAGTGGCTGCGGCCGACTCATGGTTTCCTTGAGGTCCCCTTGAGGTTTTGGGGAATCCCCCACCTGGTCGGTCTCCCCCTCCGTGCTTTTGGGGGGTTTCTGGGGGGTTGATTTTGGGTCGCGCTCCCCCCTCTCCCTGTTAAAATCTCGGGACTTTGGGGGGGACGTGTCGGGATGCGTGTGGCCTGCCTGCTCCATCTGCACTCTGCATTCTGCAAGGTTGGAGCATGCATGCATTGTGCCGCGGTTGGGACCCGGCGGTTCGATAGGAGGCTCAAAACCCCCTTTTTCATCATGGCTAGGGTATCTACCAAGTTTCTTATGCGCCCGCCCTACACACGTCTTTGGGGCCGCATTCCAAGGGTCCTATGGGACACGTTGGCGGATGAGTCCTTCTCCCCGAGACAGACGGACGGGGAGCTGTTGGTCCTGATGTGCCTGCGCCAAGGCGCTGAGGAGGAGGGGAGGAAGCTGGGCGGAGAGCCGGCAATCCGCTTCTCTCAGCTCCTGGAACTCTCGGGCATTCCGGTAGGACAAGACGCCCACGTGGTCCCGACGCAATACTTCAACGGCCTGGTGGCGGCGGCGGCAGGCAGGCTTCCCCAGCCTCTGTCCGCGGCGGACCTGGCCGACCTGTGGGACAGCATATGGTTCCTCCTCCTGGCGACGGCGGATGGCAAGCCGAGCGAGGACTTTTCCCCGCTGGAGAATGAATGGGACCGCCAGGACCAATTGAGGTGGTTGTCACGAGATGACCCACCCGCACTCCAACAACCGGAGCTTCTGGGCAAAATAAGGGAAATGGAGCCCACGACGCAGCAAGCGCTGGAACTCCATAAGCGCGGGAAATGGGCGGAACGGCTCCTCGCCCACTTTGCCCCGTTTGCGGAGCACATCACGTACATGCAGGACATCCTGGGGGGGAGGACTTCCGCAAGGAGGCATTGGACCTCCTGGGGGACAATAGGTTCCGGACACTCAGGCAGCATTGCCTGGTCTACGAGAGTCTCCGGAAGAGAGGCTTCACGGTGATTCCCTGGCAGGAACGACATGTCCGCTCTCTCCTCAACCAGCTCGCCGAAGAGGAGGTCACCCCGTACAAGCTACGGCAGGTGTGGAACACCCTCAAATGGTATTCCAAGACCTTCGGTATGCTGAAGATAGACGAGCTCCATCGCCTCAAGTCCAAGAAGAGCTCGTTGGAAGAGGCACTCACGGACACGGTCACCCGGCCGCAGCGCAAGGCGGTGGTCCCCAGCAAAGAGGTCATATGGGCTCTGGAGGAAGGGGCTGGCTACGATCACCTGGGTGCCACCGGCCCCGGTACGCAGGCGGCCCCGGGGAGGAGCAGACACGAGGTACTGGACGCATTCATCCTGGGTTTCGCCCGGTTCCAAGTAGGGTGCAGCGCTCGTTTCAATGACCTCCAGCATGTTCACCCTAAGGACCTGATCCACACCAGTAACACCGTGGAGCTGAAGGCCTGGCAGACCAAAACGGTCTCAGCAGCACGAATCAACCGCAACCCGGTCCCCTTGATTGCTCCGAAGTACAGCTTCACGGGGATCCCCTGGTGGACTACCTGGGTGGCCACGGTCCGGCGACTGGTATCCGAGAAGGCATTCCAGGACATGGACTACTTGCTCCCGACAGTGAGCAAAGAGCTGATCCCGAGACCTTCCGCACCAGAAAGGGCTCTGAGATGGCTCAAGTGCTCTTCTCCGTCGAGGAGTGACCCTGGGGTTGGTGAAGCCGCTGACGTGGCACTCATTCCGAGTGTTCATCCCGGACTGCGCTTTCCAGATGGGGCTCCCCCGGGAGCGCCGCATGTACTTAGGCAACTGGCTCACAGAGAGCACAGCAGACGTCTATGTGCGGGAGAAGCGCAATGTCGTTGTGGAGATTTGGGGCCAGGTAGCGCAGAAGGTCCCCAACCTGAACCTCAGGCCAGGCAGGGAACGCAGGGAGGACTTGAACCACCCGGACTGGGCGGACCCGCTCCCGCCGCCAGCAGTGGAAATCACGGATGCGGGACCGGACGGCCACAAGGACCAAACTGAAGGGGAAGGGGAGGCGTCCCCCAGGGTACCCTCAGGGAGCGCACCATCGACTCGCTCATGGTCATTGGTGGAACAGGGACCCGAGGACACACCAGT